AAAGGCCGATTGCCGAGCGCACCAAAATGAGAATGACTCGGCGATCTCATTGCAATGTTTGCATTCCCTTCCTTGATTGTTAGTGCACAATGTCATGCGAGCCTGAAAAGCATGGCCTTCGATATGTCTCACATAAAAAACAGCGCCAAAAAACGAGAGACAAGAAAAAGAAGGAGACAGACAGTGGCACTGAACTTACAACAAGATTTATTTGCCAGAGCCGCACAATATATACTTGGGCAGCTTCTAACAAAAAAAGAAAATACAAAACAAACAAAACAGAATCTACCTAACAACCAGATAGTTATCTTCACAACGCACCATGAGCAGCACGTGTGCTAACGTGCCGAAGGAAATCTATTTCTTTTAATGATAGCGCAATCGAAGGCCTGCTGACACATGCGCTGCCCAGCCTTTCAATTTCTGAAGCCTCATAAATTTCACGTATCAACTGGTCCCGATGCCTCCTAATGACGGTACAAAGCTGAAAATCAGGGACACAGCCGCAGTCTCGGCAATGAATGCCGAGATGGCCCGAAACTGTAGAGGAGACGTTGTGAGCGTGCTCTTTCAGCTGCTCATTTAAACACCTGCCTGTTTGGCCGATGTACCACTTGCCGCAAGACAGGGGTAGTGAGTACACCACTCCTTCAATGCATGGAACGTACTTCTTTCGATGCTTGACTTTGCAGCCTCGCTCGCCCCTCGAACCAGGATTCACGGCTCTGCACAAGCCGTGAATCCTGGTTCGAGGGGCGAGCGAGGCTGCAAAGTCAAGCATCGAAAGAAGTACGTTCCATGCATTGAAGGAGTGGTGTACTCACTACCCCTGTCTTGCGGCAAGTGGTACATCGGCCAAACAGGCAGGTGTTTAAATGAGCAGCTGAAAGAGCACGCTCACAACGTCTCCTCTACAGTTTCGGGCCATCTCGGCATTCATTGCCGAGACTGCGGCTGTGTCCCTGATTTTCAGCTTTGTACCGTCATTAGGAGGCATCGGGACCAGTTGATACGTGAAATTTATGAGGCTTCAGAAATAGAAAGGCTGGGCAGCGCATGTGTCAGCAGGCCTTCGATTGCGCTATCATTAAAAGAAATAGATTTCCTTCGGCACGTTAGCACACGTGCTGCTCATGGTGCGTTGTGAAGATAACTATCTGGTTGTTAGGTAGATTCTGTTTTGTTTGTTTTGTATTTTCTTTTTTTGTTAGAAGCTGCCCAAGTATATATTGTGCGGCTCTGGCAAATAAATCTTGTTGTAAGTTCAGTGCCACTGTCTGTCTCCTTCTTTTTCTTGTCTCTCATTTTTTGGCGCTGTTTTTTATGTGAGTCATGTCGTACCAACCCGCCCAAGCAACCACGTTAGCTACTTTCATTTCTAGTACATTGGGCTCTTTTAATTGTTTCACCGTTCAGCCATGTGTCATCGTCGCCATGTACGTCTACGCCGTGTGCAATGCCCGAAAGTTCTCTTTTCTTATCCGGTATAAGCAACTCCCCCCCGACATTCTGCTGCTCTTCGGCGGTTTCAGACCTTCACAGGGGCACGGTCTTCGGCTCCTCAAGGTCCTTAGTTCTGAGTGGCACCGACAAGCTCGTTTCTACAAGCAGTGTTTGTTTCTCTCGCTTCAAGGGACTGCGAACAACAATAGAGGCAAGAAGTGGCTCGATCACCTTGACCTAGCTAATGCCGTGGCGGAATTCCGTTGGCGGCAGATGCTGACTGAGCTACGAGCTTCGCTGCCAAAAAAGCCCTCCCCGAGCAAGGAAGGACTGCATTCTCTGGGGAATGTGTCTGTGCCTGAGAACATACGCAGTGTGCTTAGCCGTGGCCCCAAGTATGCGGTTGAACCAAGAAAGTCAAGGGCAGAACTTCTGGGCCTGGTCCGCAGCATTTCTAGGAAGGTACCTGCTGACTGTGCCGAGAGGTGTGTTTCTGAGGGTTGTGACATTCTTTGTAACCATAGAGCAGGCTTAACCAGGGTTCCTGTAGAGAAGGTAAAAACCTTCCTGAAGGATAAGTCATTGTCTTTGGTAGCAGCAGATAAGGAGGGAGGCTTTGTTATTGTTCCGAATGAAATCTATAAGAAAAAAGCAGGTGAAGCGCTTTTGTCTGTGTTTCAGCCCCAAGCTAATGTGTCGCTTCCGAAGGTTAAAACCTATGCAAAAAGTATCTGTAAAAGATTGAACCTTGATGGGTTGGCAAAAAAGATGGATGGCGAGAAAAACCTTAGCATGGAAATTTTCTTTAACGCGAAAACGCACAAAGTTAACTGTCCTTTTCGTGTTATAGTATCAGAGGCCAACTCGTGGCAAAAAATACTGGCACAATTTCTTCAGGGAAAACTGATGTTATTAAGCATAGATGATCCATTCCTAGCAAAAAGTTCCGATGATGTGATTTCCGTGCTGAAAGATAACAAATTTTATGGCTACCAGGCATGCTCAATAGATATTAAAGATCTGTATTACTCATTGCCACACAGTGAGCTTCTAGCTTGCATTCGCGGGTGCATTGACAGTTTTGGCGTTGTGAATTACCAGAATGCAGTAGGCATATCTGTTGAAGGTTTTATGGAACTGCTACAGTATTACCTGAGGTCGACATTTGCAGAATGGGACGATCATATTTACTTGCAACGTCAAGGGGTGTGCATAGGATCATGCCTTGCGCCCATTTTGAGTGATTTATTTTTAGCCAGCCGTGATCGTGCCATTCAGAATTGCTTGGGATCCACATCTGTTAAGAGAGTATTCCGCTATGTTGACGATTTCCTTGTGTTGTTTCAAGCTGGAACCTACTCGGATGGTCCGCCTTTGACTAGTATTTTGGAAATTTTCAGTAAGTGTCTTTCTCCGCTTGTTATAACACATGAAGTTCCGGACAGAGGAGCCATCAGGTTCCTAGATTTAATGTTAACGTTGAGTCCTTCCCACGTGTGTTGGGCCTATGAGCCACGCGCCAACAAGCCAATCCTCCCTTTTGGTTCAGCACATTCGAAAGTGGTGAAGCGCGCTATTGCTAAGACTTGCTACACAAACGCTTTGCGAAAGTCCTGCTATCACACAATTCTGTCCAGCTTTAATAAGCAAACTAAACGCCTTACAGAAGCTGGTTTCCCGATGTTCGTTTTGACCGCCGTTGCTGAGTGTCTACTCAGAGAAATCAGAACGAGCCCAGATAATAATGCTCAGAACCGTACAAAGGATAAGGGACGTGGGAAACGAAACTTCGTCGTTATTCCCTATATCCACGGCGTCACCCACAATCTCAAAAAAGTAGCCAGCAGGTGCGACGTAGACCTGGTTTTTTCTGCCCCAGAAAAACTGGCTAGGTTGTGCAGAGCCGTGAATCCTGGTTCGAGGGGCGAGCGAGGCTGCAAAGTCAAGCATCGAAAGAAGTACGTTCCATGCATTGAAGGAGTGGTGTACTCACTACCCCTGTCTTGCGGCAAGTGGTACATCGGCCAAACAGGCAGGTGTTTAAATGAGCGGCTGAAAGAGCACGCTCACAGCGTCTCCTCTACAGTTTCGGGCCATCTCGGCATTCATTGCCGAGACTGCGGCTGTGTCCCTGATTTTCAGCTTTGTACCGTCATCGGGACCAGTTGATACGTGAAATTTATGAGGCTTCAGAAATAGAAAGGCTGGGCAGCGCATGTGTCAGCAGGCCTTCGATTGCGCTATCATTAAAAGAAATAGATTTCCTTCGGCACGTTAGCACACGTGCTGCTCATGGTGCGTTGTGAAGATAACTATCTGGTTGTTAGGTAGATTCTGTTTTGTTTGTTTTGTATTTTCTTTTTTTGTTAGAAGCTGCCCAAGTATATATTGTGCGGCTCTGGCAAATAAATCTTGTTGTAAGTTCAGTGCCACTGTCTGTCTCCTTCTTTTTCTTGTCTCTCGTTTTTTGGCGCTGTTTTTTATGTGAGTCATGTCGTACCAACTCGCCCAAGCAACCACGTTAGCTACTTCGATATGTGCAACTTTGTGACGTATCTTTAGTGTTTTCGGTTTTAAAACGCGTGTCTCGGAGGCTATTCTTTTTTTTTTTCATTTTTTGGCATCAAAGCCACTGAAAGCAGTGGCTGCCAGTTACAAAGTCACAAGTGACATAGATATCGCCACCAAGTATACGGTGGGAACTCGGACGAACTCGGCGTTGAGTCTCTTCCGGCTTTAGGTCTTGTGTACTCGCTTCGTTCCTGATTAATCCTCATTCGAGAGTTGAACTGAACATTAACCCTCAAGCAGCGATAAATAATATGACTGGAGTGACGTCAAGTAAAACACCGCTGAAAACGTTCCTTGCGGGCCAGGTGACGACTTCGGGTTTGTCATGACCGCTGACAACGGCATACCGTTCCTCAGCGAATTCTGCGACTTATCAGTGTTTCCGTGCACCATCTCGGACAGATAGCGACTTCATCCGTACAGATGACGACGCAGCTGTTTTTGACTGCACCAACGCTGAGATTTTGGCTGCCGTTGCCATTGCTCCATAAGCGTAGCCATGCGGTAATGAATGTGCCAATGCCTTCGCTGCCGCCACTAACCAACCTTTTGCCGCTCTACAAGCTTACAAGGGCATTTTGCATCAATCAACGGTGTTGTGTCTGAAGGATTTGATTGATTGATATGTGGGGTTTAACGTCCCAAAACCACCATATGATTATGAGAGACGCCGTAGTGGAGAGCTCCAGAAATATCGACCGCCTGGGGTTCTTTAACGTGCACCCAAATCTGAGCACACGGGCCTACAACATTTCCGCCTCCATCGGAAATGCAGCCGCCGCAGCTGGGATTTTTATGTCTGTAGGAGTTAAATTTGCTTATTTGAAAAGCTTCTATGATATTCAGGATGACTGGAACTTGACGGTGTTACGCTCTGCGTGGGCATAAACAACTTTCTCTGGAAAATATCCGCCCCCTAGAAAATGGTTCTTGCACCATGAAAACTTGGTACGCGATGCTACCACAAATGCTGTATAACGACATACCTGGTTGTAGAGGTGATTATCTCATCACCGTGCTTGTTGACAGTACGGGTAGTGGTGGCTGTCAGCTGAGATTGCTCTTTGGTCTGCTTCTCAATCTCGGCAATCTGTTGGCGTTGAGCTGATGGTGCTGAGATCTCCATGCCAAGGATAATGTCTCGAATCTCGGATTGTGTCAATGAGGCCACGTTTACACTGCAAGGAACCACATCCATGAAACTCTCCACAAAACTACTACAGCAATGATAATTTTCAAGCTGGGAACGGCTAATCATGCCCCAATCAAGATCATGCGAAATGTAAGTGCATGGCACTTTGTGAGCCTTTCCCAGTCTAATGTGACGTGTTTCTCAGCTACGCATCTTCGCTATTTCCACTAGATTATGGTTTCTCTAATGCATGAAAAGCCTTTCTTAAAAGCTAAACTGCATTTTCCAATTGCTGAGTGAGAAGTACTGAGTGCAACATTGTGCTGACAAAGAAGCACGATAAAGATGTTTTAAAAACTACCAATATACATCTACTGATATGACTACTATGGCCTACTTGTGCACATGACATTAACACTGTCTTTTATCCTTTGCTTAGACACTTTGCACTATCACTACACAGTGTTCTGAAGCAGTTTTCACTCCTTAGCCTTAGCCACTAGATCATCGTGGCATGGCTAAATAGGGTAACAGGAAGGGGGCAAGAGGAGGGTGCAAAGTCAGCCCCATACAAAAGCATGTGTTCGAATAGCACACCACAGAGCTTTGCATTGCGGTCCATGCCATTGTGCATGCATTATAATGCTAAGCGCCACTAAAGTTATCAGTCTACCCATGAAAATCCGAAATCGTGTGCGGCCCACAAAACCCTTTTGCAATAAATTGAACGTGCATCAGCGTTTAGGGGGGAAGAACGCTATTAAAAAACTCGTACAGCGCCCATACGCAACTGCTACCCCCCCCCCCCCCCCCCCCAACGCACGCTAACTTAGCATACTCTATTCGAAAACTCCCTACTGACATAATAGAGAGAGGGGCGAGAGAGGGATGCAAAGTCAGACCCATATATTGATGTGATAGAAAGAGGGCGCTGTGACAAAACTGGCATGCGGGCAGGGCGGGGCACAACGCAGCGACGGGGAGAAGGCAAGGAAAGAATTCAACACTCCTCCACTCTTTGCGCGGCTGGGACAGCGCAAGAGGTGAAGAAAAGTGGGGTGTAGAAAAAACCACCGGCAGCCGCGATGAGCCCCTGGCCACTCCTCGTCGTGCCACTCATGTGAAATGGTCATTCACACGTTCCTACCATCCGCAGAGGCTGGAGAAACTGTTCTTATAAGGCCGAATCACGGCCTATATTATATAGTGTAAACCGTCCGAAACAATCTTGAAATTCGTATCATCACGAAATTCGCATCAACCGTAATAAATATGATGAAGATTCTACAATACCGATCCTTTATGTGCTCCATCACCACTACAGAAGAAAGAAATACAGTACCACAGAAAATTTTGCTCATAGTACACACCTCAAAGCCATTTCTTTCTGTTTGCTAATTATCGAAAATTATTGGCACCCTCACACGGCTGTCCTATGGCACGTGGTGGCAACATCAAAAAGCATTTCAAAACTACTGCGGAGTCAGGGATACGTAGCCGGTGCAGTGGCTGTCATAGCAATGAAACAGACATAGTCGGCTGTCCATGATAAATGTGTACTACGATCAGCTGCTTAGCGAAAATTTTTTACACGTAGTACGACCACAGGGAGCCAAACGTCTACTAGCTAGCAGAGAGCAGCTTTTCGTCTCCTTGGAGTACACACCGTGCAGAGCCGATTGCGCCAACTCTGCTTCAGATTGCGCACAGAAGTGGCGATAAAGCTATTGCATTAACGCGACGATGCCACCTTTCTCCAAACTATGTTCTAGCACCCCTGGCAGCAGATGGAGGTGTTTGGGTTATCGTCCTATGAAAGCGTGCAGTATGATTATAACACCGCTACGCTAGCTGTCTCGACACCCGCCATCCACAATGCCCTGCTCCATAACAGAGAGCTGAACACTGTCGCGTACAACGATCGAGGCGGTAGCAATCGGCACCCTTGAACGCTCCGATATTCTTCGGCTATTAAAAGTGTGCAGTAGGTTTAAGGCGGCGCTACGCCACACATGCAGGTTTTTTATCAGTGATATCATACTGGCGCACTTTTTGATGGTCGCCACATCGCCTTCGTTCTTTGCCAATGGTTACCAGAAAGGTCGGAATAATTAATCGGCCGATTCCGTACTGTTACAGCAGCATAACTGCACGCAAATGCAGCAGCGCAAGTGCACAAGATGGTGACCATCATTGTCAACATTACTTTCGGTCCCAATACCACCTTATGACGCAGAAATGGCACGAATTAAACAAGTAAGTCCCTTTCGGAGCCGTATGGCACGGTAATTTCCAGTTGGCACAATTGGTGCAGGTTTCCCACCACTGATACACACTTATGGTATGCAAGAAATAAGATCTTACTTGTTTTTCTTGCCATAGTCGGCCAGAATGAGGTCCTTCAGCTGTACTTCCACTTTGATCCACTCGTCGTCGGTCAGAGTGGGCCAGATGTGGTGTGGCTCGGTTATGGTGGTTTTGTCCGGCTTGAGGATCACCTTGGTGCGCTCATTGTTGACGTGGAGGGCTCGCAGGATGAGGATGAGACGTGAGAATGCTGTGTAAGAGGAGATAGTCTTGAGCCAATCGTCATAGAGGTTAAAAAGCACCATCTGTGGCTCGGTGGCCTTCAAGATCAGGTCGCCAAACTTCTCAACTTTGAGGCATGCCTGGAAAGGAAGCTGCAGTTCACTGCCTTTGATGACAATGTTGGGGAAGTCCAACAGGTGCACTTCCAGAGGGTCTAGCATGCCTTTGCGAGTGACAATGATCTGCTTGGGCTGCTCTTCTACTGGCAGTGACCGAATCAGGGCAGCCACTTCTTCCGCAGTCTTCCATTTGGCCAGCTGCATTAGAAAGGGACAAATAACTTCTTTAAGCATTCTGAGAGCAATGAAATCCATGTCTACTTCATTAGCTATATAAATTCACATAAACATGTACTGCGGAAAGTTTACCCCCCCCCCCCCCCCCCAAAAAAAAAAGGTGTCAACAAAAAATTTTGAGAGAGCAAAATTTGAAAGTAAATTTGTGGGGATATTTTCTAGAAACAGCTCATATAGACTAAAGCGTATCTTCAAGAGTATGCCATGACAAGGGGGTGGGAAGCAAATTATTTTCATTTCGGTGTTACTTTTGTTCCACAGCAAAAATTTCTATATCATTTTGGTTTTTAAAAGGGCTCTGTAACACCTTTCCAAATACAAAAAGCTTATTGCTTCACGAATTCACCGCCGCAAAAATGTTTAAGTACGTTTTGTATGAGCGAAGTCACAAAGGTTTGTTGCACCCTGTATTCGCATTCTCTCTTCTCTCGTCCCGACGAAAGCGCTGGAAGCTAAACAAGAAGGGATAACACGGGCAAAAAAAAAAAATGTCATGCACACCTATGACCTTGAGGAATTTTTCTTTTCTTTTTCTTTAAATACGCTGCTTTTTCAGTGCAATCAAGTGCACACGCATGGACAAGTTGTGACCTCTCGTGGAAATCCCGTAGCGATGAAACGCGCCATGTTGCCATGAATACCCTAATTCCTCGAGTGAAACGCGACCATGATTATGAAGCGAGAGATGACTTTTCAGTGCCAGGAAAAAAAAAATTAACATGACTGTAATGTGAGTAAAGCCGGGGGAAAAAAGCACCTTTATTTGCTGCACATAGCAGTGGCAAAGACATTCCAGTTTCTAAATATAAGGTGAGTTTTGTTCATTCATCGCCATCATATCGCTGGTGGTCTTTTTTTTGTCACTTTTTTTGCTTCTAGATAAGGTCATCCTTCATGCCATCCATACAGTTCGATATACAGCACTTACTAAACGCACGAACTATCATGTCATGCAGCAGGTCGTACCAAGTGGCGTAACAAACTCCACTAGCTTCACTTCACAATCAGCTGGCAGCTTCTGCCTTATCGACGTTGTTTGCCAGAGGGAAAATCCATTTCCTCGCATAAACTTTATTGCCCATCCACGTGAAGCCCTAAAGTTCTCCTGTGGGATCTCCATCTCTCGAGCTACGTCTTGGGTTTTCCGCTGAATCAGCTCAATGATGATTCCCAATAAACGATTTCGCTGCAAAAATCACATGATCCGCCACTTTTTTTTTTTTTTTTCCAGTTCTGTGTGACAGCCACAACGAGGTCCACGGAAGCTTTTTCAGCCGGCCTCACTCTTGAAGAGCACTTCACGCTAGAGCCTCCACCCACGGATAGTAGATTCCGCCACATCTAGCCGTTGAGCCACGGCTGAGTTCTAGATCTCCTCAGCTTCTCTTAAACTCTCTTAAGACTTCTCTTAAAAGCGGGCATTGTACTGAGCTTGTCGCACTGCCATTGCTCGGGCCGAAGTCGCGGAAGCACAAAGAAAATGAACTGCCCGCAAAACAAGTCACGAACAATAGGATTGGATTTGATTCAATGTTGCCAGCGTACATATGTTGCCAGCACAAAGTTGAAAAATCACTAGATTCGTCGTAGCCATTTTAAGGAACCAGTAGGGCGGCATAGCCAAGGCACAATTTGAGATGCTTAGAATATAACATGGAACCCCAAATCACTTCAGAGAGATTTTGAAAAGAATTCTGGTTATGTTCGAGTGAATACAGTTAGAGGGCGTGAGGTGCGTGCCGGGCGCTGGAATGCGGCCTCGGTGCGTGAGACTTAATGGTGCGCATGTGCACCACGTTCACGTTCGAGATTAAACACAGAAAGGCTCATCGCACAGAACCAAAACCGTGATAGAAAATCTCAGAGGATGAGCTGTCACTGTGCTGTGAAGCTTCGAACTGCAAAGATAGCAAGGTCAGCGTTGCTGCAGCGATGGAAGAAGTAGAGCCACCTGGTTTTGAAGAATGTCGGGGTAAGAAGCTCGGGAAGAGGCCATCGACATCGAAGGTGCCAAGTAAGGCTGCCCGGGTTTGCCATAACTTTTCACAGCAGTTTCTGGGGGGACTACAGCTCTTCCACTTTCAGCCATAACGGTTCCGGTCCACACCAGTCATCGGAGTCCGTCATAAATGAGGCCATTGAAGAGTTAGGTTTAACCAAACGGACCGAAGATGACGAATAACACGAGGACATTGGCAATGAAGGCAGGCGAATCGATCGGCAATGGGACTACAGTCGCAGACCAATCGATCGGACACTGATAATTCGGACAGCTCGGTAATCTGGATTGCTGCGCGACACCGCCTTGTGTCCCCATAGAGGTAATGTGTAAAGACGACCAATCTTTCGGACAGTCGCCAATTTTACATTCGATAATCCGGACCTTGTACGAGAGTGTCGCGCACGCTGAATCGGCCGCCATTATCTTCTGCGGTACCCAGAAAATACAATATATGGGCTCAGAGATCTAAAACTACATAATCAAAACCAACACTATTGATCTAAGAGGCTATATGTTGATCGTGACTTCATGCCCCGGAAATTTTCTATTTAAAATGTTGATCTGAAAGGCAATGCACAACTGTGGGCTCGCATCGTCATCGCGACCAGCCTGTTCCAGTTTTGGTACGTCCGTGTAGCGAGTCATTTCGTCGTTCGTGTCAGCCGTGCCATACAGCATTCTGCCGCGTTCTGCTCGTTCCTTTTTGATTTTGCGACTTTGCCACGCTCTGCTTGCTCCGCTGTCTCAAGATTACTATCTGCGTGAAATGGCACCCTCACAGCCGATGGCGACATTGAAGCGCGGCAAATACACAACACTAACTGATGGCGAAGAAGGCAGTCATCATTCAACAAGTGCAATGTGGTCGCCCTAGAATTTGTCTCAATGCAAACCGTATCAGATTACATAAAAAATGAGGACAAAATTTTGGGCACAACAAAAAAAATCACGCGGAAATGAACAGAAGAGGGTGCAGGAAGGTTTTCATCCGCAGTTGTAAGAAGTGTTGAGCATTTGGCTTAACGCTACCGTCGCTAGACGTGATCCCATATCCAGCCACCTCGGCTCTTCGACTTGGCATCAATGGATTCAAGTTCAGCGATGGCTGGCTCCGGAACTTTACGAAGCGGTACAACCTCGCTTTCAAAAAAATGTGCGGTGAAAGTGGTGCCGTGGATAACGCACTGGCAGCGAACTACCGTGATGAGAAGTTGGTGGAGCTGCTTAGGCGCTATTCAGCGGATGATACGTTCAACCTTGATGAAACCAGGCTTTTTTATAAGCTACTGCCAGAGAATACGCTTGCCCGTTCTGGAGAACCGTGCCACGAAAGGAAACTGAGCAAGGAACGGATCACTCTTGTTGTCGGCAGCAACGCTTCCGGCTCGAAAAAGCTCCCGCTGTTGGTCATAGGGAAATCGAAAAACCCTTGATATTTCAAGGGGAAAAAAACTTGCCTGTATGGTACAAAGCCAGCACCAAGGCGTGGGTCACGCAAAAGCTGTTTGAAGAGTACGTCTGCAAATTAGACCGAAAGTTTGAGCTGCAAAAGCACAAGGTCCTCTTGTTTGTAGATAACCACACTGCTCATGCGCCGATCAGTCCTTTGAAAGCAATCGAACTCGAGTACCTGCCGCTGAATACGACCAGCATTCTGCAGCCTATGGATCAAGGGATTATAAAGAATTTGAAAGTGCTCTATTGTTCCCGCCTGCTGCAACATGTGTTGCTGTGCTTAGAAAGTCAGATGAAATACAAAGTAGGCTTGATGTCCGCCGTGAGCATACTGCTGATGCCTGGATTGCCATGTCGGCAGACACAATCAGCAACAGCTTCCGGCATGCTGGATTCACGTTACGTGATGAATCCAACACTGCAATTGAAGAGCCGGACCTGCCGCCCAGCACACGAGCTCAGATATGGACATAACTGATGACTTGCGAGGCTGCGGTATCCCGATTCCTGACGCTGTCAAGTTTGAAGACTTCGCAAAGGTCGACAGTGCGGTGTCGTCGTGTGCTGAATTGAACGACGACGAAATAATTGTCCAGGTTGTGCAGTCGCCAAACAGCGATTCTGACACCTATGACAATGACGCGCCGCTGCGTGCTCCGGAGCCGTCGCATGCGAACCTGTCTCGAGCCTTCGCTGTTCTTTTGTCCTCGTAGAGCAATCATGCCACACTGGCGGAGATAGGGGCGGATTTGGTTGTGCGGAAGCGCAAGTGCGTGCAGCAACGCATTGACAACTTTTTTCATTCCCAGGGACGCTGAAGTGTGAATAAAATGATTTTTTTATGACGCGTTCGCTATTTGGGACATTCGGTAATTTGGACTTATTTACTTTCCCAGTGTAGTCCGAATTATCGGTCGAGGATTGTACTTCGTCGTAGTTTTGAGGGTGGTATCTGAATAGTTAAAACGGTTCACTATTGCAGGAGCGCATGAGAATAGCCATAGAAAGGTCATTTTGCCAAGAAATATTAGGGCTTATGACCGAACTTGACTAGCATCAGTATTAGTTCCGGTTTCGTGGCATAGCCAGCTATTGTGTGCATGCTTCCTTTTTGAGACAAGATTGAGTATTGGATAATGGTTTGCCATTTTTCGCAGTATTAAAACGTGTTCAGAGGGCTACTGCCAACTCGTGTCCTTCTCTCAATCCAATCCTTCGCGAGTGCTCCCAAGATAAACTGTGACATGTTCAAACCCACCAATGGCTGATAGAACAACTGTACGAGTGATTTTAGAGCTTTTTGTGCCATTTGTCAAGAGAATAAAAAGAAATTTTTACCAGAGTTTGAGAATTTATTGTGAATTCCAGGACGTGTGCTGCACTATAGTATTTGGCTCGCGTGTTCTCGGAAGCCTGTACTACCGATCGGCAGCATTTTCTGACTCAGCTCAAAAAGTGTTCCAGGCCCCGTTAAAACAACACTCTTCCTTCAGGCAGAAGTGTGAAGCTACCTTAATGCTTTTTTTTTTTTCCTTCAGGACTAGCCAGACATCACCCCCAAATCGTTAATTCCATATCAATACGAATGCTTTCCATTTTCCTTTCCTGCCCCCTCCACAATATTATTGAACGCAGTGTACTGCCATTATCACTAGTAAACTCCTCCGACTCAATTGAGCTTACTGAATTTTGATATGTTCACTGTGAAGTTATGCTGCATATGTTTTCATCCTTTCAGAATAGTGTTTTCAGTTGTAATTTTACCCCCCCCCCCATCCCCACCTAGGCAACATGGGCCTGCAGTACATTCTATACATAATGTATTTACTGCCGCAATGAACCCACTTGCATATCCAATCAACCCCCACCTTGGAAAGAAAAAACAATCGCTTCTTTAAATGCATCTGTTCATTTTATTTCGGTGTGACAGCCAGTGCTGCTGACAATCGAAACAATGTTAAATCTCAAAATTATATCGCTTAGCAGCTCATCAAATCTGTACATGCTGTAGAGCTGTGGGGTAGGTTAGGTGGGATGACCAGGATCAGGCGGGTAATGAAAGCATTTCTTCCAGGAAGGAAACTTGGAAAAAGTGATTTATTCTCAGTTAAAGAAGTCGTTCGTTTACTCGTCCTCGTTCCGGCACCCACCACCTCGGCTTTCTCGGGCCCCTCTTGCCCTCTTCGACCTCCTTTTCACCTGCCGTTCCCCGCCTTTCTCCCTCTCCCTCGGCACTTCTGCCATTTCACAAAAGGCCGGGGTGGCTCACAGATATAGGGCGATCAAGGGGTGTGTATCGTCAACACGGAGCCCGACTCTTTCTCGGCTCGAAGGGCACGATTGCTTTGTCCTGCTAAGTCGACCCATCCTCTAGCCTTCCGTTTGGTCTCTTGCGACACTAAGGTCAGCTTCTAGTAACAGTCTCTGCATTTGGCGGGACCGAGTTGTGGCGCCAGCACGCCCGTCACTGGCAGCGATATGCAACAATGCGAGGAAAACGTGGCATGCGCTTCCAACTCTAATGCCATAGCCCCGTTTGCTGACTACGAAGTTCATATTTACCGCAAAGCGTTGGCAGCTATGGCAACTCATTTTAGAGGCGAAGCTCCTTAGGGCGTGGGCTGTGCGTCCCCTGTAGCCTGTATGTAGCCACCTCTAGTTTAGTTCTTGCAGTGTTCACTAGATGGCGGTACCGTCCCCTGTATGTAGCCACCTCTAGTTTAGTTCTTGCAGTGTTCACTAGATGGCGGTACCGTCTCCTGTATGTAGCCACCTCTCGTTTAGTTCTTGTAGTGTTTACTAGATGGTGGTACTTGTAGCTGATGATGAAAAGATGCAAGATGTTATAAACTAGAAAGCGGTACTTGTAGTTGATGAAAGACGCGAGATCTTATAAAATAGGAATGATGTCACATATGGCGCGTGTCATTGGTTGAAGGCAATCGTTCGATTTAGTGCGGCGACGTACGCTAGGGGGAGCGTTGTAATAAAATCCGTTCCCTGTTGGCGCGCGCTCGGAGTCGCCGGATGGATAAGGCTGCACAGCGGAGAGAGCACAAGGCGGCAGCAGCGCGCACTCGCAGACAGAATCCCGATGTGCGAGCGCGCGAGGCAAGGGACATCGCAAGCCATCCATCGTCTAAGAACAAATAAAAGTTGATTTGTGTATATACACACACAGCGTTTCTCACGTCTTTACATGATGATCGACTGGGCGAATTACACGGAAGATTCACAGTTTACCGATGAATCCCTCCGGAGCTTCGCCCATTCATCATCATTCACCCCGTGAATATGCCGTAATTTTTTTTGCCTTGAAGCTGTGTCGTCTCGCCGATAGGTATCCACTGCAGTCAGCGGACCGATGGGCGCGAGGCCTTATTACTTTATTTGGTCGATCGCATTTTGCAAGTGCCCTGACCTAATTGGAATATAACTGCGAAAATTTTGAGGCTGGTCGGTCATTTTGGCTCAGCTCGGCACAACAACAGGGCATTATATCAAACTGGCACAACTGGTTCAGCTGTAGCATTCCTGTGTTTGTGATAGTGAAGTTCGTTGGATACCTGCTGTGCCGGCACTGCTGCGCAGGGCACAATCAGTAAACTAGCTACCCGGCCAGTTTTAAACATAAAGTTGGTCGAGCACGTGCTGGAGCATGGGAATCGAGCGGCTGGATGACGTTTCAATGCTGATCCATGCCCGATCGTTATGGGAAATAACAAGAAGAGCTTCGAGCTACAAAAAAGGTGCGTTGCACATTCTGCAGGCCAAAACAAGAACAATTTCCCCCTTGTGGAAAGCGAATTTCTCTGACAGGTTTAGTGGTTCCGTAGTCTGGTAAATGAATTGAAGGCTAGCAGCACTTGGACAGAAGGTTTCTTGCTACCGTCCAGTGAAATTGTTGCTGTTATAAGTCCCGTGACTTTCTTCCCATGTAATGAACACCCCCCAAAATTGACGTCACCTTTCCCAAAAAAAAAAAAAAATGGATTCATTATATGAGTAGATACGGTTTCAATAAGTAAATATAAATAAAAGCAGCGATTTCATTCGTACAGTTGTGTACCTTGACAGTGGACTTGAGGCTGTTCACAGAATAGTAACCCACCTCAACAAAATTGTAAGTTTTCTGCCACATGCGGCGCTGTAATGTTTGGCTCACATGATCACAGAAGCCTCGATTACTGAAGAGCGGCCATTTCACACAAATAGTTATGCAGGGCCCTATTATCATGACCTGCCACTCCTTTTATATATAAAAAAAAACAAAGCCTACTTGCCTGTCCCAAGCGTTTCTGGCCAGCCCAAACTGAAGTATGAATGATCTTTAAGAACAGTTGTCCAGTTCGTGGGTTGAAGATGAAGATAGCACCATTGATGGGCTTGGTTGTGAGGTTGCCCTCAAAGGTCTGTCAAAAGAAAGGTTGCTGCATCAGTGAGCCCTGTCTCACTTTCATTACTGCAACATACCTAAAGAATATGGCAAAAATAGTAACACGTTCATTTACCCCGAGATGACCCTGACCAGACGAAATCTTGCTAGAACTTGTTTAAGCTTCTTACACATTATATTCTAAAAGAGACTGACCTAAACAATTTTCAAGGTCTACAACAGCGCTAGTAAAAAATATATTACTCATGTGAGAGTGATAAAGCAATGATGTAACTTTCTCATTCACAGCAAATCACACAAATCGGAAAATTGAAAAATAAGACTTTTTACATCAATACTGATTAGAGTGTTTCAATGTGCAAACATTACAAGAGAATATCTAATGAAGAATCCCCAAGTAGGCCAGATACCTTGTGGATGGTGACACGGTAGACGTTGGTGTCGTCCACAAACCAGATTATCTGGTTCGAGAAGAGTTCACCATAGTTCTGAGAGCTGAGATAAGGCTCAGTCGGCTCAGAGGAGTACAGCTGGAGGCCCTTTCGAATGCGCTCACGCAGCACATACAATGCTGGGTTGGCCTTCATGATCTTGGCCATGGCCTGCTGGATGAGTGGCTTGCAGCCCGGGAACCAATTGCCATATGCGCTGAAACACATAACCTTTAGTGCTCAGACAGCTACGAGCAAAGTAGCTCATTCACTTGCCTTACTTTTTTTTTTTTTTTTTTGAACACAATTCTTGATAACTTCACAAGTTGATTTAAGGAATATTTTATCACCTAAACACCTCGAGCAATAATCTTTACCAAAAAACCCAATCTCCGAAAGTGCAAAGAGCAAAATTATCACGTGCAGCATCATATTTATTTATTTAATATATATTTATTACATACTGCTGACCTGTTTACCAGGTCTTGAGCAGGAATAGGCATACAGAAATGTTTACTACAAAAAACATAATTGACATCACACAGCATACTGACAGTGAGTACAATTCAATATTTTTGTATTAATTTACAAAAACTGAAGAAAAACATTACAACAATGGCATAGCTTTGCTGACTGAAACGTACTAAAAAAAAAATGGAGGCATTGCGTAACACTGGGCTGCATGACTGTACAAGAAAACTGTTAGTGGTTATTGAGAGCATGTCGAAATAAATCAACTGTTGGACACTGTACAGCATCGGGTGATAGGCAATTCCACTCACGGGTAGTTCTCGGAAAAAAATGAATACCTGAATGTGTCTGTGCAGTTTACGTAATCTAAAACTTTCTTTGAATGATGTGAGCGCACAGCATATTCACTTGTTTGTCTAATGTGCATTGTTTTGTTGATACCAATTTTGTTGTGGAAAATGAAGTAAAAAAGCTTCAGCCTCTCCATTCTTCTTCTCTCCTGTAGTTTTTCGAGATCCGCTTTAATTAGTATAAGTGAAGGGGAAGCACGCCAACTATAACAAGTAAAAACAAATCGGACAGATTTTCCTTGGACCATTTATAATTTTTTAATATTGGACTCAGTAAAGGGATCCCACACTGCCCCGAAACGGTGCACGGTGTACAGAGAACTGCATAGATTTCGCGTTTCTGACAAGTGCACCTGCAAAATCACGCGAAATCAAGGCAACGCACCTTCACCCTTTGTTCAATCGACTTCGTAAGCGAAGCGTGACATGCGCTTTGTACCGCTGCTCGCGTGATTGTTCTGCAAACGTAGTGAATCGAGAACGTAAAGGTGCCAAATGGGCACCGACTCCAGCAAACACTCGTCTCAACAGTGCACTTTTAGCCGCCACCTTCTTGTCCTAAGCTTACTTTTTACCGCTTCAAAAAACTTGTTGTGAGGATGGTTTCAGACAAGTCTTTGAGCATCTCAATCACGTCGAAAAACTATCAGCACAAAGCACTAACACGAGGCGTCGAGAAACGTGCAATAGCGGTCAGCCACGACACAAAACGCACAAGAAAAAAATATTACGCATTGGTCATGTTAGCCAACAAGAAATGTGGAACGGCGCTCTAAAAAACACGTCGGCCATTTCAGCCAATAGGAGACTCGGTACAGTGCACTCGAAATGCACGCCGGATAAGAGCCAATCAGCAACCCAGGAAAAGCCTTTTTAGAAACCCAGGATGGCGTCGTCCAAGTCATTCTGCTTGGATGATGCACAAATTACACACAAAGGAAACCGCTTTGAATCCATCTCAAGATGGCGGCGTTTAGCCAACAGGCGCGGGCGTTAAGTTCGAACAAATTTCTTTCTTCTGGGGGCATTTTTTTACTGCTGCTGGAATGCTTTGAAGGCCCATTTTATTACATTTTCTGACCGAATTCAGCATTATTATTTGAGAGTAGGTGCTCAGAAGTACAACTTCCCGAAAAATAAGTTTTGCAAAAAATCCATTTTTTTTTTTGTCTTTTTTGATCGTTCTAAGACTCGTGTCCCCCCCTTAAACAAGGCCAGCTCTCACAAGCCAGTATGGATACCCTTCTATGGTCAGAACATACCTGTGCAAGTTGTAGGCAAGGTCAATAGCAATCAGCACACCAGTGGGCGAAGGGTATATGCTCATGTTGTCAGTTGTGTAGTCCAGAAACTTGGCTCGGGCATAGCGTTCCACATCATGCGAGTCATAGTCACCCCAGCGCAGCTGCACATCAATCCAATACTTCTGTGTTGTTGTCCCATCCATGGTGTCCCTGTAGACCAGAACACAGTGCTATCAAAGTGTACTACAGTATAGACCACTTATTACGTAACCACTTCTAGTGCAGAATTAGTTACATTGCAGACTTTTTCGACTCCCGATTACCTTCCCCTAGAAACCCATGCACACGCATACCGCTTATTGTGCAGTCCCCTAAGATCAAAGGCCGGTTATAATGCGGTCGCCGGAAAAACAGTCTGACAAACGCAAGCGAATGTGCTGCGAGCGATAAGGTCGTTATGGAGGAGGAGAGAACGCGGTGTGAACGAACTAAGGACGGAGGGGAAAAAAAAAAAAGGAAGAAAGACTGCGGCACGCTTCGTGGGCTCACCGAGCAAGGGAGCGGGGCGGTTGCCCTTGAAACCTTTGCATTGGTGCCGATGCAGCTATAGTGTACTAGAGTAGCTAACATGGCACCGGCTGCACGTGGCTCAAGATGGCATGTGCAATCTCTTCCTCAACGACTGTGCCTAGAATTTCTCCTGTCTGAAAAAGCGTAGTCATTAGCGAGCTTGCAACAGGTATCTTGTTAGGCAGCTTGTCCATAAATTTGAAAGCTTTTATAACTTTACAGTCCAAGGTTCGACCAAAACTTGTCAGGTAAGGGGGATTCATTGGCCTTGTCCGGAAAAAAAAAAAAGAAAACGTTTATGGATGTTTCAGGCTCGCTAGCGGTCCCCTGTTCACAATGAAGAGCATGCAAGAGGGCATGACTATGGTTTCATGTAACATGTGTGAGAATTGAGGCTAGCACACTGCCATTGCGCAGGCTTTGTTGCCTGTTTCTGCCGTTCTCTTGTCTTAACATGACTCTCCGCTCCTCCGTGGTCCGTCAGCGCTGAGAGAGCGGGAGTGATGTCAGTCAAAGAGGCTTCTCCAGACAATGAAGGGTGAGCACACGTTTTCTTTCCGTCCATTGGCTCCTTTTGTTTGGAGCTCGCTCGGACTCGTCAACGGCGCTTCTTGTGGCCGTATTACGCTAATCTGTACCTCTCGAAGCCAACGTGAGCGGAGTTTGCCCTCGCTCAAGCGACCGAACACTGCGGTCACAGATAATGAGACTACGCAGCATAGTCGTGAGGCCCGTTTCCATCTGTGGCGTGTCACCGTGAATCCATGTCGCCCATGGAGACGTGCTCGCGGCACCCTTTGCGTTGTACTTTTCGCCCGTAGCGTGGATAAGCCTCGTTTGCTTTCCCCAGCCCTTTGAAATTTACGCTGTACTACCTTTTACAGCGAAAGCTGTTATGAGATAACAACTCGAGTCACGTGCAGCTGTCTGCCGCCACCGCCGCCGCCGGTGTCCATAACCACATTGCACGAAATTGGAAAAAGCTAGCACCAATGACACAGTAAGGCTAGAACCCAGATCCACTGAGTGCAAGCCCAGTATTCACTACTGAGCTACGCCGGTGCTTGTAACTTGTTGTCAACCTTGCCTTAAGCAGGCTTGACCTAGCACCGATGACACAGTGGGGCTCAAACATGGGTCCGCTGGGTGCCAGCCCAGTATTCTACCACAGAGCTACACCGGTGCCTTTGACTTGTCGAACTTGCCTTAGGCAGGCATGACCTAGCACCAATGGCGCAGTGGGGCTCGAACCAGGGTCCGCTGGGGGCCAGCTTAGTCTTCTACCACTGAGCTACACGGGTGCTTGTAAGCTACTGTCAAACTTGCCTTAGGCTGGCTTGATTGTCGGGAAAGCAATCGCGTTAATGAGACTTATAAAGCGTTTTAAAACAGCAATAGAACAACCAGTTGTCACACAATGCGAATAGCGTAACTAGTGGGCCGTCCTATGCTCCAACCAACTACAAAAGCTCGTTCTTGTTCCCCTATTAACTGTGGCGCATACCCACTTCAGTCATAATTTCTCATCGTCGTCAGCCACTTCGTCCTCGTCGTCAACCATAATTTCTCATCGTCGTCAACCAGATACGGGGTCGGAACCAGCGTGTGTCGCTGAGTCAAGGGCACACTCATATTTGCTGGACCATGACGGGCTTTTACTGAAGTATATAGCCACCGACAACAAATCCATCGATTCGTTTAAGGTGGTTATGCCCAAGAATATGAAAGCTGCACTATTGCGATACTCTCACAACAAACCCATGGCCAGTCACCTGAGTGGCTCGAAACTTTTCGAAAACTGAGCCGCAGTGTGCCCTGGCCTGATATGAAGCGTGACATTTTTCGCTATTGCTGTTCTTGCCACGTCTGTCAAACAGTGAAATCAAGCGGTGGCAAGCCGTCCTGTCTAATGAAACCGATTGACAGTGAGCATCCATGGTAAGTCACCACCTGCGATCTAATGGGCCTGTTTATCAGAAGTAAGCAGGGGTTCATTCACCTCATGGTAGCCATTGATCACTTTTGGAAGTGGCTGGAATTGTCCCCTCTTCTGAAGGTGACAGCGCGAACGGTGCTTGAGCGTTTGCTCGGTTCGGCTTCCCGGAAAGGCTCCTCATGAACAATGCTTCAAATTTCACCACTCTGGTGTTTGGTGTCACGTCCGGTTCCCTCGAAATTGATCACTGCACCACTTCACCCGACCATCGACAGTCAAATTTGATGGATCGTGCCACTCGTACGCTCAAATTGATGTTGGCGGCCTTTGCGGAAAGTCAAAGGGACTGGGCAAACCATTTGAGTGAGCTCGAACTCCCTATTCGAACATCTGAGAGTCACTCAATTAGTTTCTCGCCCACCTTCTTAAAATTTAGAAAGAAGTCGGCAAATCCGGTGACCAGCGTCATTCAATGCCAGCTCGAGGACACGGAGGCGCAGGCAGACTGCTCTGCTTATGCATTGACACATCGGGACAGGCTTCATCGAACTTTCTGTAAAGCAAGTCAAAGTTTGGCAGTGGCCAGCACCCAGCAAAAGGCCCAATATGACCGCAGCATCACTCCCTAGCTTTTTAAGTGGACGATCTTCTCCTGCAGCGTAGCTTCAATGCAAGTAAGGGGTTCTCAGCCTCACTCGCTCCTAAATGGCTTGGTCCGTACTGAGTGGAAAGCTTGGACTCCACTCACGTACTTTCTGAAAGATTCCCGGGAAAACTCAGCCATGCCCATACCGCAGACCTGCACGGTCTGATGAGCTCACACCAGCGCCCAGAAGGCACGTTCAGTTCGGCCTCCCTGATCCCTGAAAAGGCCTGGCAGTCCCAACGACGGATGTGGGAATTGAGGCTAGCCTGCCACCGTGGCGCGGGCTTTGTCACTGTTCTCATGTCTTAACATGATTCTGCTCTCCTCCACGGCCCTTCGGTGCTGGGGGAGCAGAAGTGACATTGACCCTCTCACCCAGATGTCGACCGTGAAGCTGCGCTTGAGTCTTTCGAGACGTCTTGCGCGTGTGTCAGGAATCATTCAGAGATCTCTCCAAACATCAAAGGGTGAGCAAATGTTTCCTTTTGTCTGTCAACTACCATTGTTTGTAGCTCCCTCGGACTTGCGCCCACAGCGCCTTGCGCTGTGGCGTTGAGCGTGGCGTTGAGCTTTGCACAAGCCTTGCAATTGCGGAAGCCTTGCGCAAGCGGTGTTAAGCTTTGCGTTCGTCGCGGGTGCCAACGCCTACTTTTTGTTGCCTTTTCCGAATGCTAGGCCGAAGAGCGGTGCGACGTCCTCATGCGTGGTCATACTACGCCAACCCATACCTCTCGAAGCCAGCGCGAAAAGAGTTTGCTTTTGCTTGAGCAACGGAGCCTTGCCGTCACAGATTGTGAGAGCACGAAACATAGCCACAAGGGCCTGTTTCACCCAGTTGCGTGTCATTGTGAATCCCCTTTGCCCACAGAGACGTGCTCGCGGCACCCTTTGCGCTGCACTTCTTGCCTGTGACGTAGATAAGCCTCATTTGTTTTCCCGCCGCATTTTCTTATGCGCGCTGCACTGCATTTTTATGGACTGTGTAAAGCGTTACTGTGTACTTGCCCCGCTGTGCTCGGGGCCTTGGCTATCAGAGCGTGCATGTGCAGCGGCTTTAGTCACGCGAGGCAACGATGGACGTGGACCTGCGGCTCGCTAAGACCGACCCATGCTATTGGCCGTACTCCTTCGGAACACGCTGCACCCTAAGCATGTAAGTTGTTTTATACCCGAAAGTGTACCTTAGTGTCATGACCAAGGCGGCAGGGACACGGCTGTAATTATGACTGCAATCTTCGTCCCCTGAAGCCTACTTACTTTGAGTCAGCTAAAAGGGAAGGCCGCGAGACATTCCACTTGTAAGTGGCAAAAAGCAGCACGTCCGCACAAGAGCTGTTCATCTTGTAAGATTTCCGTGGGTGGATTGTTTCTTTCTGTACGGTCTCAATTTCCAAGGCATCTAGCTCTTGGTCAAAGACCTGCGGGAAAGTGAAAAACATATCAAGAGGTTAATACACAGTTGAAATTAAACCTCAATGTAACAAACCCCAACATGGTGACGCACAGCTGGATGTTGCAAAACTAAAAAAAATTGCAATGTAAAGCTATAACAGTTCTATGCAGTTCTCGAATAAAAACTTCCCATACAGCTATTGATTGATTGATATGTGGGGTTTAACGTCCCAAAACCACTATATGATTATGAGAGACGCCGTAGTGGAGGGCTCCGGAAATTTAGACCACCTGGGGTTCTTTAACGTGCACCCAAATCTGAGCACACGGGCCTACAACATTTCCGCCTCCACCCCATACAGCTATTACGAGTTCACTTCAAGTGAGACTTTTTTTTTAGTTTTCCTAATGAAAAAGCAGGACAAAAGTAAGTTATTTTGCACAGTGAAGACAGATGCATGATGTCCTTTATGGATCTCTAATGAGCACTGCCACAAGCAGCACAATATGAGGTTTATCAGGCAACGTTTCCTTTTATAAGTTTCCTTTCATAAATTTCTGCAGAGTGTATCAAAACTTCAATTGCGATTTTCTAAGCTCCACATTTTTTGCTTTTGCCAGCCTGACTAGCCTTACGGAACTTTTCATTATGTCTTTGAGAACCAATTTTAATAAATTTTACACCGTTGTTGAACTTGCAACAAATCAAACTGTGGAACTATGCTATTTTTTATAGAAGTTTTTGCTAACAATAATGTGAGCTAATTGCACGTCAGAATTACGAAGCATCAACAAAATTGAACATTTTATTACGATGTATATCAGCATAAAAATAGCATAGCTCCACATGGCAGATCTATGACCACAGCCGCATCTTAAACCAAACCAAAACATATTGAGCGAAAGTGCCTTAATGATATGTAAGAAATAGGCTAATTAGACTTCACTTATTTTCTCACAATCTTAGAACTAATTGAAGTTCATTAAAATAATTACATATTCAAAAATTGGAGAAAGAAACATATATACACACCTACTTTCATTAAAACATCTCTAAAAATAAAAATCTTCACTTTCAAGACCAGTGTCTCTCCTTAATAACTACGGCCAAAAATTTAAGTCTTCTGTAAGAATGCTGTCGAATACATTCAGTACGCATCAGCAGAACTGAGCTGTCCCACAATGCTGAGCGGAATCGAAATGATGGTAACACGGCGACGCTAACCCCCTTCTCTACGCAGAGTTTGGATATTGCGGACTTCAGTTTAAAAGGACTTGTTTTGCCAGATTATCACAGTCCAGTGTGACGAGAGTAGACTGTACACCGACCTGGCACAAGTCCATGACAATGCTCTCATGGATTTTCTGCCACAGGTGAGCTCGGAATATCTGGATGAGCGAGATCTTGAGCGTGGGGATTTTGCCATGCATGAAGATGCCAGTCAGGTCCAACTGCACCTGGAAGCCTACGTACACCTGCATAGCATCACAAGAAAAAGAATAATAATTAAACAACAGAAATACCTCCTGAACAGGAGAAAGAAAAAAATAAGGGGAAGGTGTACACAGTTTTAGAGCCCTAACTTTAAACTAGATGCAGATAACACAAAGTATTGCCAACCACAGTTAAACCTCAATATGAAGTGAAACCTAGTGAATATGCATCTCTTCACAACGCCCCATGGTTGCACACAAAACAGTATACTCGGCAACTTTCTGTGGCCAAGCAGTCAATGATGATAGGTGGGGTTTAACGTCCCAAAACCATCATATGTTCATGAGAGAGGCCTTAGTGGAGGGCTTCGGAAATTTCGACCACCTGGGGTTCTTTAACATGCACCCAAATCTGAGCACACGGGCCTACAACATTTTTGCCTCCATCGGAAATGCAGCCGCTGCAGCCGGGATTCGATCCTGCAACCTTGGGGTCAGCAGCCGAGTACGTTAGCCACTAGACCACCGCGGCGGGGCGGCCAAGCAGTCAAAGCTACAAAGCTGCACAGCACCATTTCGATAGGTTCACAGTGTAACAGGAAGTAGTCCCACCAGTAAAAAATTTGCTGTGTCTAACCCAAGCATTTCAAAAATGTACAATTCTTCAATTTTGACCTCAGATTGACAATACCCCTAAATAATAAGCCAGATTTGAAAGAGCACTATTTCTTAAACTTTCTGTTTTTTTCCAGTGTTCTCCACTGGTTTCGCATAGATTCCCTGCGGCAAAAAAAAAAAACAAAAAAAATGTTTCTTCTCATTGCCAGCACCTTGCGTCTCCAGTTAGCTTGCCACTTAAATTGCTGCATAGCATTTTCAAGAAGCTTGAGAACGAAAGGCTGTCTAAACAAGCCAAACAGGTAGTCATTATGCACAGCAGTCAATAGCACACACGTCCCTCGAGATGTGTGCACTTAAAAGCCCCCTCACCAGGTTTGACAATTTTGATCTGACGAGCATAATGCATACACCGCGTGTTCATGGCATTGTTTGGCGAAATTCGCAACACTACGCGCCCCAGAAATCGCTTAAATTTAAAGCTGAATGCCGCTTGCCCTTCTTTTAGCGTGCTAGCACCTGACAAGATGACGTACACAATGGTATTGCCCGACGCAGATGGTAGTGCTGTGACGTTGGTCCCTTACCTAGACGACTGTTCTCTGACGAAGCCAATCATAGCACGTGAGAAGGCAAAAATTATTTGACTTGACATGTGTACTTTGTGCGATTTGTTACTTGAATAGGCAAATAATAACTTGACACGAATAATAAGACACACAAAAATAATGCGTGCACCACTTTTGTTTTTTCCTCCCATGAACCGCAGCGATATGTAGGGCTAATGTGCCTCTGTTTCGCATACGTTCGTGTGCCCGCAGTGCTCTGTGGTTAAAGCATCGAGCAGACACCAACCCTAGAATTTCCTGGCGCGTTCAAGCACTCATTACGCTCATTTTTTTCCACAGCGTCCAAGTAAGCACGGCACTGGCTCACGATACCACCACTCTCGTGCCAGTGAAATATCACATTTTTTGTGCTCGGTAATAGGTTGTAAGCCTGATGATTGGCAAGACTGTAGACCACAAAGTAACGCTGGTCAGCAAAACAACACCACTTGCGTGCTCGGGGGCTTGGGCTTGCTCGGACTTGTCATGCGCACGTGCACTGATGTACATTAGACGTAACTCTCTCACTCTGATGCCAGAGAGGGAGGGAAGGAGTTTGGCTTGCGAAGGTTACGCAGGGTGAGCAGCAGGGATTTCGAACTCGCCTCTTCAAATCATCCTTTCACGCCACTTCTATATGTCGGTTTTCTCAGCTCGTAATGAACTGATTGAATAAATTCTTGTGGCATAATGCTCTTCACTGGACACAAAATAATTGCCACCATCTAACTAAAATTTGTACTGGGGCCTGGTGAGGGGCCCTTCAATACAATCACAGCTTTACAGTGTGTGGAGATAGGTTTGCTAACGGCTTACCCAACGAAGCGATTGGGAAGGGGCGCGACATACTCCACTGCTGTTATGCACAAAGACGCAACGACCGGGTTCATCGACTCTCTGACATGGCGCAGAAATGGCACTCGAGGCAGGTCATCAGCGAACAGGGGTTTATTTACCCAAAATACAGTACAGTGCGACAATCACGAGCTTGCGGGCCAGCAATGAACTCTGCAAGACCGATCGAGTGAATGCTTGCCGGCAGGCGTTAGGGCTATCACACAAAGGAAGGCAGCGGAGAGCGTGTACGAAAAGCCACCTGCTAGAGCAATGCGTCTACCTTTCGTGCTGGCCCGTGTGAATCTGCTAGGTGGCGGGCGAGTACCGGGCTAACGTGAGCTACCCGAAGAGGGCGCTCACAGGCAGCCAATCAGGATCGGTGGAGCACTGTGACGTAAGCTATCGTGACGTAAGGGGATGGCGCATTGTACCGGGTCCCGTGCAACGGGTTGGGAGTCCTCCAGGCAGAGTAAGCTTCACCACTGAAGCGACGCGTCACAGCCCCTCGAAGCCCGCCTGTGCCCTGTTTTGCAACCGGTGGGCGGCCGGCCAGCACTGGTGATCAAACCCCACACCTCCCGTAGCTGAAGCGGACGCGTACTTGCAATGCCACAGCTGCGGTGGAAGGCGCATTGTCCGGCCAAGTTCAGACATGCGTCTCCTTGTGGGAAAACCGATGAATGGCTCGCACCAAACAAAAGGGCCTGGCAGCGAAACCACAGTGGCCATGTTCCCGGTACTCGCAAAAGCTAAGGTAACGAGGTGCCAAAGGGGATGGCACGCTTGATTCCCGCAAGTGATGTATGGGAAACTTGTCCCTAGAAGACCACACCTCTCTCCTCAATCATAAGCAAATTATTAGGCCTGATTCAAATGTGCTTCAAATATTCGGACGAATATTGTAGTTTCTGAATTCATTTCAATTCCAAAACTAAATTACTGAAAATTTCGAAGTCTTCGAGATGAATGAATAAATGTATAATAGCCCGCATATGACCTCTGTAAAGGTGGTTTCACTGCAGAGGAGGGTGCTAAGCCATGAAACCAATTAAGCGTAATAGTCTGCATGTAACTCTCTGTAAAGGTGGTTTCACAGCATAATGGTGTGTTAAACCATGAAAACACCTCCCCCCCCCCCCCCCCCACCCCAAAAAAAAAAATTTGACTTTCTTGAATGAAGCCCCATATCGAGGTTAAAGAACTTATTATCCACACATTGATTATAGATTTTAAAGTTTAAAAGGTTCTTATACAGGCTTATATGCCCAAAGTACAGTAAACTTAGAATGTTACCTATTTTACATTTTATCACTAGCATTCTCCCAAAAGTCAAATTCTTCTACTATTAGTTGTTCCCACTTTCTCTGAACAAAACAAAAAAGACATTTGTGCAGGTCTTCTTTCAATTTTTCAAAAAAATATTGTGCACATGAGTTAGGTCTTGACAAATGTTCCCTTTTTTTTTAAAAAAACATGTGATATATAGTATTTCAATTTGATTTCAAATTATTTGACCAAAATCACTATTTGCTTCTAACCTAAAATTCACTATTCACACAAGCCTACAAATTATGCTTCAGCCACACCAATTCTGCTATATTACCAAAGATGGTTAAAACAATGCAATCGGATCTTGTCAACAAGACAAAGCCAAGATGGCACCAGTTGCTTGAATGGTGCGAGAATGCTGCTCTGAAGTTGAGCTTGTTTGAGCACTTGCTTGGCTGGTGCATCACCTGCCACTGTGCTCTGATATACACAATTTGAAGTACTTTTATGATGAATAAGGCACTAATAATTTCAGGAGTGTTCCTTTACTATACGTACAGTCAAGTTATGCAGTATTCTAAGTTCTGCACCTTCTTATTTTTTTCATTACATTTTTTTTTCATTTTCTAGGGCACACGTCTCCTGAGCATACAATTTCTCACTGTCCCACAGCTCATCTTCATCATCATCAACCTGACTGCACCCACTGCAGGACAAAGGCCTTTCACATGATCCGGCAACCAACCCAGTCTTGCACTTTCTGTTGCCAGGTTATACCTGCGAACTTTTTAATCTCATCAACCCACCTAACCTTCTGTCCCCCCTCGCATGTTTGCCTTCTCTGGGGATCCAGTCAGTTATTCTTAAAGGCCAACTGCAATGAAATTTTACTAAGGCGGAAACGGCCATAAATACATAATATATATATATACGACAAGCTACAATTACGCCAGTGAAAAATCTTGCAGCCGCATATTTACAATTACACCAGTGAAAAATCTCGCAGCCGCATATTTAATTTATAATTGGTGCTATAATTGCCAGCAAGCAGACGACGCGAAGCTCTAGCAGTGTGCCCAGGCAAATAGCACAAAAGTGGATAAGACAATCACTACAGAACGTCGCTCCTTGTGAGCAATCCTCCCTGCTGCTGAATTGCTCTTTCCTGCGTTGAAACCGCTTTCAATGCAGCGCGTTTAAAACACGTCTGTGCGTTTGTGGAAGTGCCAAATTTTGTTGCAGTTAGACTTTAATAGACAGCGGTTATCCTGCCCACGTGCTACGTGCCTGGCCCACATCAATTTCTTATTCTTGATTTCAACTGCGATATCCTTAACACTGTTTTGTTCCCTGGTGCAATCTGCTCTCTTTTTATTTACTACACTTCGAATGAAAAACTACACCTCCGATTCTTTCCTTACATTGAATTATATTGCCATATTTTGTTCAAGCAGACTATGCTGTAACGTAGCAATTAGCACAAATAACAACTTTGCATCGGTGAAACCCTTTGCGATTAAAGGCGTGCAAATACATGGGAGACAACAAGCAATGGACGTACGTTGGCACGATTAATGGTGGGTGACCACCAGAGCGTGAAGCGCCTGTTGGGAATCTGGTTCAAACCAGACCGCTGTGCATTGGTAAGCTTCTTGTACTTCATGGACTCTTCGAAACCACTGGCCTTTTCCCTGCAGGCAAAACACATTCCATTGAAGGGCTGAGATCACCGTAATTCTCGAGAAATGTATAAATTCACAGCGTAAATTAATTTTTATTACTGCTCAAATGGCTAACCGAGTTCCCGCTTCTCGGCAGGGAAAAGCACAGACCAAACCTGCAACAAAACTACATGTTGATTAAAAGCCTAAAGAAATATTACTTTATTTATTTATTTATAAAATACTGTGGACAAAAAGCCCAAGCAGGGTGAACAAAATACATAACAATAACAGAAAACAAGGTTGTAAAGTGTTTTTTACAAAATATTTTGGTTGCAAAATGAAAAAATAAATAAAAATAAAAAATCAATTTAACTTACTTGGCCATGATACAATTCTAAAGAAGTAATAAAAGAACAGCAGTATTTGCACCAATGGTCAAGGGCACTCGGCGAATGCTTCTGTTAGTTTATTCCAATCAGCCATAGCTTGCGGGAAAAAGGGGTAGCGATAAGTCTCAGTCCTTGCTGCGAAGATTGGCGTTCAGAAATGAGGATAGTGGTGCCGAGTGGGTCTGCTTAACAAGGGGAAAACGTACGCTGCGGTGTCCAAGGATAGCCTGTGGTTTACTATGTCAGATAGAAACTGTAGACAACTTTTTTTCTCTCCGATTTTGTAATAATAAGCATCCTCATTATTGACAGACATCAAATGAGTAGAGGTTGCTCAATTCACTGCTGGTCCTTAACGCCTCCTAGAAAAAAAATATACCTGGGATGTCGCCAGCTGCCACGCGTTTCTGCCACACGTTTCTAGCAGGTGCCGTGTAGTAGCGCTAGCGACTGTACCATTGGAGCCAGGGAGAGCAACTGTGTTGGTAACGTATTAGAGGAGCAGCACAGCTGTCTTTGTGCGGAAATTTGATTGAGTGTTCGTGGCGTGCAATGGAGCTGTGCCAGTCTAACAAGTGCCAGTCATTTCTTTCTTTCCAGAACATACGGCTAAAGCTGAAAAACCTTTCGCAACATTGCTTTCAAGCAGCTTTGCGGCTGCCTTCCTGTCAGTTACTCTTTACTGCACATTACAGGGTTACATGTTCGCGCCCAGTTATCTCTTAAAATCGCTGATCATACAAACTACTCTCTGAAGCAACTCTTTTCCTTAGGCTCAGGTGAGCATGTGGGCAAAACTAGATTTCCAGGCAAAATGAACACACGACTAAACAACACTTCTCCATGAATGCATGAAATCAAGGCAAGAAAAGCTCCCCAGAAACGAATGTTGTAGCTGTTTCGTCATGCGTTTATTATTGTTTGTGTCTATTCATTTGCACAGCACCCCTTTTTTTTTCAACTCGTTTACGACGCCGCATCGCTAGCACATTCGAGATGCGGTTCTTCACGCTCTAGTTTGGTCAACTCGCCCATTGGTATCAGCAACGCTGCCATTCCTTCTGCCGACACATATTGCGACGTCTGCTTGAGCTACCAACAGCGCCACTGCTGTTTGCAAGGAATTGCCGTGAGAAGCTCAATGACTCTACCAGTTGGACAGGAGGATAAAGGAAAGCGTAGGGCAGCCCTTTTGTGGCTCATGTCCCAGGCATACTTTCTTCTAAGATGCATTAGCTAGTCACATATGTCTCTGTAAATGTATGGTAGGGGGCCACGGTTATTGTTGCATACCAATTTGTCTCGACTAAGCTTGTGTAAATATTCGAATGCTTTGAATGTTCATACGAATAATACAGTTTTAAATTCACTTTGAGTCGAATCGAAGTTATTGAAAATTTCCAAGTATTCAAACTGAAGGAATAGGCGTATTTTAGTCCACTGCAGTGAAGGGGTGCTTAACCGTATTTACTTGTGTAATGATCACACTTTTTTTTCTCAATAAATAGGAGCAAAGTTCGGGTTGTGTTTATTATGCGGCGCAAATTTTATGAAAACTTTTTTGGGATGAGCAAAAAACGCGGCAATGCAAAGAAAAAAAAGTTAGGTCGCTTAGCCTTTCGCAATTGAAGACACGTACACTGTTTGGAAACAGCTTTTTTGTTGCCCTTCACTCATCTTTGGTGGTTGAAGGTGCTATCTTCTGCAAGCTGACCTGCACCACCCGCACACTCTATAAAAACGTTTCACAACGTCCTTTTCTCGTAATCATTTAACCGCAACAGTGGTATCTGCTGTGTTCTCGAGGGGCACCCAGAAGCATGCATTACAATGCTACGATGCACTTTTCCAACTTTGTGTCAACCTTGCACGACAACCGCGACGACACCGTTGACACTGCATCAAGCTACCGCTGAAGCATCCAAAATAATCCGTCAATAACAAGATTAAGGACAAAATACGGCTTCCATCTTGCTGTTCACATGAGAAGTTATGGTAAAAAAGATAGCCTATATCACGAAATCAGGGCGTCGATGAAGCATATATAAAAATACTGGAAGAAATCTACAGGAGATCAACTGCTACTATAATGCTTCATAAACAAAGCAACAGATTACCAATCAAGAAGGGTGTAAGGTAGGGGGATACAATCTCCCCAATGCTATTTACCGCCTGCTTACAGGAAGTTTTCAGGGGCCTAGAATGGGAACAGTTAGGGATAAGAGTTAATGAAGAGTACCTTAGTAACCTGCACTTCGCCGATGACATTGCACTGCTGAGTAACTCAGGGGACTAATTGAAACTAATGATTACGGAGTTAGCCAAGGAGAGCAGGAAGGTGTGTCTTAAAATTAATCTGCAAAAAACGAAAGTAATATACGACCACCTCGGAAAAAAGCAGCGCTTCGAGATAGGTAATAGTGCACTTCAAGTTGTAAAAGACTATGTCTACTTAGGGCAGGTAATAACCGCGAAGCCGAACCACGAGATTGAAGTAACTAGAGGAATAAGAGTGGGGTGGAGCACATTTGGCAAGCACTCTCAAATTATGACAGGTAGATTGCCACTATCCCTCAAGAGGAAGGTATATAACAGCTGTATTTTGCTGGTACTTAGCTACGGAGCAGAAACCTGGAGACTTACAAAGAGGGTTCAGCTTAAATTGAGGACGACGTAGCGAGCAATGGAAAGAAAAAAGGTAGGTGTAACCTTAAGAGACAAGAAGAGAGCAGAGTGGACTATGAAACAAACGGGGGTTAAGGATATCGTAGTTGAAATCAAGAAGAGGAAAAGGACATGGGCCGGGCATGTTGCACGTAGACAGGATAACCACTGGTCATTAGGGGAACTGACTGGATTCCCAGAGAAGGCAAGCGGGATAGGGGGAGACAGAAAGTGAGGTGGGCAGATGAGATTAAGAAGTATGCGGGTATAAATTGGCAGCAGCAAGCACAAGACCGGATTAACTGGCGGAACATGGGAGAGGCCTTTGTCCTGCAGTTTACGTAGTCAGGCTGATGATGATGATGATATCACGTGTTCCTTGATATACGCGGGGATAACAAGTATGAAGAGGAAATCGCAACCGAAGCGACAATCCGTGGTGCTACTATGCTGAGAAAATCATCACGATCTTTTGTGGGCGGCAAGGAATTTTTTTCCAGTTTTCCAGAAACATGCGACGCAATGATGACGAATGGCCCTTTGCGACAGCCATGGAAACAGCAAACCCTGTCGTCACTCTAAAATTTAGGGCCTGTGGGTGGGCCTTAAATGTTTTATATTTGCAGGAAGCAACCGTCAGTTGGCACGGGCAGTTTAGTGACGTTTTCTTGCTGTGTGCTTATCATATAAGCTGCTATGTCCCTGCTCTCACATTTTTCGTGAACCCCACTGTGCTGCACGGATAATAAAAAAAAAATACAGGATATGTGCCATATGTGCCACGCGCAGATAGAATAATAATACGGCATGCGGCAGCGGGCGGGGGGAGCGAGCCAGAGTGGCCGAAGGGGATGGGCATAATAATAAATAACAAAAGAGATCTAACGGGCAAGAAGGTGCCAGGTGTCGGTTAGTAAGTCTGCAGCGGACCAATGTAGGGGGTGCGTTTATTATGCGGTAGCAAAAAAAAAAATCCATATTTTTACGACTGAAGTTGAGGATGCGTTCATTATGTAAATGCGTTCATTACATAAGTAAATACGTTATTACACATTCTAAAGCATAACATATTTTATAGGTTACTACTTGCATTCTACTGAAAGTCAAATTTTGCTGCTATTCAAACTTGTTTCCACTTCCTTGGAGAATGGCATTTATTATTAATATTATTACTTTGTCATTTATTATTCCATCATACAATAGAATGCAGATACTGAAAAATATACAGGCAAGGGCCCCATAGTCGAAGACTGGTGCTTGACTTGAGCACTGTGTCAAGCACCATGTTTGCCAACATAAAGGTTTCATGGGTGAGAGCATTGATGAAGCAGCTTCTTGCTTTTAGGCACTGAATGTCATCGTTAGAGAAAATGACAAACATGTTCTGAGAAAGCTGACAGTGTTTTTTTATATGTGCGTTCATGTATTTTGCTACACTTTGCACTGATTGTTTTTTTGTTCCCCCTCTATGTAATGCCTATATGGCGATGTAGGTACTCTGTAAATAAATAAATAAATGTGGCATCACTATAACCATTAGGTCCCCTAGTCCAAGATGCTGTCATTATGAAGGAAGGAAAAAAAAACTAAAATTTTGTGGTTGAGAGCATGTGTACCAGAAGAGACCTTCCCAGGTGGGGAAGTATGTTCCCTTGAACAGGGTGTGCTCCAGGATGCCTTCCACACCGCCCAGTGCTTGGATCATGTCTGTTCGGTAGTTGTTCAAGTTCCACAGCTTGCCATCGTGCCTCTGGTGCGTCCACCAAAATGGGTTTTGCTTCAGCACCTGCACAACAAAACAACACCCACCATGTATGCTCAATCGAAAAAACACAAATGGGAAAAGTCTTTTAGAATGGATAATTAACAACTAGCTCAGCTCTGTGCAATTATTCTGTAATTATATTGCTATCATTCTGAATATCTAATTATTCTGCTCCCATTTTGCTTAAAGCCGTGTAAAAGCCACAATACTTTTCATAAACTGCTCTCTGCAAGGCTGTTCTTACTTTCTACCAAGATGTGGCAAATGTCACAGCTCTTTCGTGCAACCATGTTGCAGTGCACGGATGCAGTACCCAAGCAGCATCTCATAACTACAGCAATGAACGTAGCAACTGAAACGGCAAAGCAGATAGCCACTGGGAGTGTGATCACCAATAATACAACAGGCAATAGGGCTGCACGAATATCAAATCTTTCGAGTACGAATCGAATAATGAAGGAATGCAATCTTTTTGAAGATGATAAGTCTTTCTTGGAATACTTCGACGCTGAAAATTTGGTCTGTCTGTATGTTTTCTTGTTTCTGTCTGTCAATTAATTCAGCCACCAGAGCGAAAGTTTAATCCCTTGCAAAGCGACCACCCATCTTGATCTCCTGTTGTTGATATGTTGGAACGAATTATTTTGTGCAATAACTACCAAGCGACGCTCCCAAGTGCACTGCATATGCTTGTGCGTGATTGGGAGCAAGTGACAGAGCTTACGATAGCAAATTGCTTTCACCACTGCGGCTTCAGCACCGAAGCTCTGCAAGCTGACGAGCCACCAGTGCTCGAATACGGCGTCACCGCCCCCATGGCGGACATTTTGGAAGACATCTGCTTTGCGGACTACGGCGATGTGGACTCAAGTGCAGTGGTGCGCGGTGCACTCATGGATGGCGACATAATATGTCAGGTGAGAAGTGCAGAACCTGTCACTGCCAGTGACGATGATGAGGAGGACAAAGCACCAGTGCAGCCCTCTGCTGCGGAAGTCATGGCCGGATTGAATACTGCCCGTCTTTTCTTAAGTTTTGAAAAACGCGGAGAAGAGGCCTTCCGTTAAATTCGCTCGTTAGAGCAAAAAGTGCTGGCTGTCGCCTTCAAGAAAAGAAGGCAGACTGCGATCACAGATTTTTTTCAAAAAATAAATTGTTATGCCCAACTCGAAATGTACTATTGTTGTTCTTCACTTTCGTTAGTTCGAACTTTCGTTAATTCGAACTGAGGCAGATTCCCATTGCGGTTCAAATTAGCAAGATTTTACTGTATTCCTGCCTCCAAACACAACGGCTTCCCTGCAGCTTATGGACCAGGGAATCATACAGTTCCTGAAAAGCCGCTACCGACGGCAGGTACTCGAGCGGATGTTGTTCTGCATGGAGTCAGGCAAGCAGTACGAAGTAAGCCTGCTAAGCCAATCCACATGTTAACATACGTGTAGAACAACACACCGCCGTGTGAACCAACACACCGCCTGCATTTGACAAATGGCACTCTGCTACAAAAGGGGATACAGGGCGACATAAGATGGACATCGTTTGAGTGCAGGAAAGCTAGCAGCAAGATAGAATTTGAGGAACGATTGAGAAAAATGGGAGAGGAGCGTTGGGCTAAGGAAAGTTTTCAGCAACTTTTACATGAAAAATGTCGATACTAAATAAAGGAAGTGAACTCAAAAATTGTCAAGCAAGTATTTAAACAACAGCAGAACACCAATCCAAAAAGAAATATTGGTTAAGAAGAAGGTGAACGGAAACAGAGAGGGACACGTGGAAGATTAGAACGCTTACGACATCATCACTGTATACCTACCGAACTTTCAAGTAGGGAATTGCAAAAGAAATGATCTCGGATGAATCTCGGGGTAGTTCTTGCTGTTAGAGGCCAGAACGGGAGTATTTCGGATCAAGACGTACCGGGCCAAATCAGTTATGGAAGCGACATTTCGCTTTTTCGAGCAGATTATGGAGCAGAAAAAATAGTGCTTTGGAGCAGCGTTAAGTGTCTTCGGAGCAGAAAAAAATGATATAGCTAGGAGTTGCCACTGGTGTTTTGGAGCAGATGCATGTTTTTAACGACTCCTGAAGTCTAAAACATCACTAAGGCATCTAATAAATATTTATGTTTATTAATAAACATGCCGTATGCTAGTGTGCAGCTAGTATACAAGCAGTATAGTAGGCGTAAATGATGGGTGGGGGAGTCAAGAGAGTCCGGACTTTCCTGGTGTTCAGGCACGCAAGGACATTCCTTGCAAGTGTCACACTTGAAATTTCGCTTTAAGGCCATAACTCTGGTACCAATGAAGCTAAAAATGAAATTATAATTTTGTTGCACTCCCTGACCTTCTTGGAATGCTGTCATATCAAATTTGTAGCAATATTTTATGAGGAAGATGTCAAAAGGCTGGGCAGAATGCAAGTTTATGTAACAGTCAATATTTAAAAATCTAAAAGTGATAGCAAAAAACTAATTACATATTTGTTTTCAGCTGTGAAAAATACATATTGTATTTAAACTTCAGCTGGAAATACTGAAAATTAAAAAAAAACATTTCAGACCAGTGTCTCCCCTTAACATGTGATATAATAGAGTTAACAGTTAAGTATAGCGTAATAAACTTTTTAAAATGCTTGTTATCTTCATGCACACCTGTGTTAAATGCTTCTCAGCTGTGTGAACTATGGAAGTCAAAAAAAAAGGTGAAAAAAAAGAGGCTGTATAGAACAATGCAATGCAATTGCTCGATCTCGAACCCCATGCTCATTTTTTTCCTTTTTTATTTTATTTGAAAGCATGATTTAATTCCTATATAAATAGAAATACAACCCAGTTAAAAATACGGATTGGACACCTAGGCCTGATATGTGTCACCCTGTGAAATTTTTTTGGATTTATGCCACTGAGTAGCATACAAGGATGATAGTGTATACAGCTTGCTTTTGGTTTCGATTAGGCTCATGGGATGGTCCCATAGTTTCAACTTCATTCTTTTCAATCCTTTCGGAGCAGGTTTGGAACAGTTACTAGCAAATATTGCACTTTTGAGCAGCATGGAGCAGCATTTCTTTTTTTGGAGCAGTTTGGAGCGATTGGAGCAGCACTTCCACCACTGCGAGCCAAATATGAAGGCACAGACACAATATGTATGGTCGAACCCCGTTACAACGAAACTGAAGGGGCGCGGAAAAAAATTCGTTGTAGTGAAATAAAAAAAAGTATAGCCGATTTGAACTAGAAAAACAAAGGAACGTTTATTCTCAAAATTCAAAAAGTGTCCACTGCTTTTTATTCTATCACAGCAGTGTCACGACGCAATTCTCACCCATGCATAGCGAGGCCATGGTGAAAAAATGCTGAAACAATGACTACAACAACGAACCAAACAGTTGCATTAACACGTTAACACCAGCAGCTGTCCGCCGTCAAAACGCTGAGATGGCAGCAGGGTATCATGGAGTGGTGACTTTTGCCTTATTTTATGCCATTCTATCATCCATCACTCGCGGCAAGCTGATTTTGTTGATAATGCGGACCAACAGCCGCTCTGATTAGTTACCACACTGGCCAAGCGCGAACAAAATGATAAGCATTGGAATCGCAAAAGGCATTGTTCTGCAGATGCACCCAGCAGCTGTGCGAAGGAAACCACGAACTAAGCAACTGAGCTTCAGCTTCGGATCGTCTGCTGCTTTTGCCAGTGACAAAAGCAGGGAAGTCTCAATGCCATCACTATCGAGCAATGTGCTGAACAGCGCTGGTTTCTGGTGGTGCCAACGCGTGTTTTAGACTTTGTCGACATATTTTCAGGTTTTGAAAATGCATCAAAATGTTAAAGATTGGATTTACTGTATAGCAATAAATATCTGAGCCTGGAATCACATCGTGAAATTCCGTTGAAGCAGGACAGCAGAAGAAAAAGTGTTCGTTGTGGCAACAATATTTATGCATTGACTCCTATGGACTGCTGACGGGGAACCATGAATTTTTCATTGTAGCGGGAATTTCGTTGAAGCGGCGTTCGTTGAAGCGGGGTTCAACTGTAGTGCGTGTGGAGAGGAGGAGGAAATGGCGGAACAGTCGATAATGTTCTGTAAAGGGCTCCACCCTATAGTCCAAGATAATGGCTCGTAATTTTTCAAGGTATTGGGGTTTAGTGACAGCGAAGGCAAAATAGACTTTAGACGGGTAAGAATAACCAGGAGGAGGCTAACTGGTTGGTGGCTACCATCAAGGCGTGAGTGAAATTCAATCCTTAAACACATAGTGATAGTACTTAACTTTATGGCTAGGTGGCGTGAGCCACCGCCCGATCTAAAGGGCACAGCCAGATACATCCATCCATCCATCCATCCATCCGAAACTTTTAAATTTTGATAGACTCCGTCCGCGTTGGCGCTGCTTCCAACTTTTTAGCATTGTTGAGAGACTATGTTTTGACTGTCATTGTGTTGTTGTTTTGTAATATAATGGCTTGATTTAACTTTTTTTATTATCCACGACACTGGCTTTCACCCCAAAATGAAATGAACAGGTACATTAAATTTTTTTTTTTTTTTCAAGGACAAAGGTGGGGGTTGGGTTCATTATGTGAGTGGGTTCATTACGTGAGTAAATACAGTACTTAGCGATACTCTACGGCAGTGGTTCTCCCTAGGGTCCGCAAAGCCATTTCTATGATCCACAAAACCCTATCCCGTATTTTTCTTTAAAATGACTGAGCCGTATTGATCAACTGTCCAAAATGAAGTGATGTAACATATGTTTCACGCTCCAGTTGTGTTAATTTACCTACGCACCCCCCACCCCTCCCTCCCCTCCGCTGCAAGGGGTCCCCCATCACTTTCACCAGTCCACAAGGGGTCCCCAACACATCCGTGACTGAGAACCACTGCTCTACGCTATAGTTTCAATCAACTAGAAGTATAGTGGAGAGTGCTCTTCCGCAGCACCGCAACTGTCGTAGCAAGAAAAACTGACGTATGCGCAAAAAAAAAGTCTCAGCGGTGGTGGTCACTTTTCAGGAGATTCCAGACACCATTCGTACAATCGGGAGATTAGGTCAAAACTCAAGAGTCTCCTGGACAATTCGGGAGAGTTGGCAGGTATGAAAACGTTTGCAGTAAGATTACACAAGCGATAACAACACTAAACTGCTAAGCCACAAGTACTCCCGAGCAGGCAGTTGACGATTTAGATTCTTAAAAATGTTTATGGTTAGTATACTTGTCGCAACAACGTTTTGGCAAGTTTGTCGGTAGCCATGATCATGCTCTTATGTATTTCTGTGCAGGCACCATAGCACTCATGCCAAAGTCACAGTAATCACTGCATGGTATATTTAATCCTGGAATCAAAGACTAACATATATCTTTTTAAAATGAAAGAAGTGAACTGAAATAAAAGAAATGTGAGAAAGAGTGCCAAAGTCACAGTATTCACTGCATGGTCTATTGCTGACACACTTATTGTAAATGTGCAAAATAGAAAGTTCTTTCTAGCAACATGTGCGTCCGAATTTCGGAAAGATCTAATATTTAGATTAAATCGAATATTTGAAACTTTAAATACATGGTTATTGAATTGAATATGAATATTATGAATGCTGTATTCAATGAATATTGAAAACTTCCACTACTTGCACACCCCTAACAGATAGTGACCGTGCTTTCCTGAAAAGTGAAAACGATGTGGTGTCGCACACAGTGGTAATCGCACATCAGCATGAAGTGTCCTACGGCTTAGCTGTCGTTGCAATACAGCTCGAGCTTACAACTGCACTGCAGATTGTACATCATTTCAGCTGGACACTGTTTTACTCTTTTGCGTCATATTTGTTGCAATTTGTGTTCAGCACGAATGTGGAACACAAACAATTGATATAATTATCCAAATTAACTAGGCAAGTATAACCTAATGAGTGACAGTTTAATACCATCAAACAATGCCCGTGCTTGCCAGGATGTCCTGTAGCGACATGGCAGCCTTGACACGTTTACACTTTTTGATAATATCAGCTGATGCAGGCATGGCCTTTGAGATCGGCCCACCCTACTGAGGGATGCTGTCTCTGGCAGCGGAATTCAGTAACACACGAGTGCCACCCAATCTTATACACCTCACATGCTTATGATTTTAGCCAATAGTGGCGAAGCTCAGAGGCACTAAAATACAACCAAATTTACCTCGATAACGACAGTACGACTAAATGCATTCAAACTACCACGAGCTTCACGCCAGAGGCTTAAGCACACATTTCGCGAGGCAAGACAGAGCTGAATTAAATAAATTTTCAAGTTAACGGGGCCAAATTCACAACATTGTACTGTAACAAAACACGATTCTCAGGGCGGAAATGAAGAATTGGTGAGCAAACATTTAGAGTTTCGACATGGCGCTAAAAAAAATGGTTTATTACAGCCTTTCAAGACTGCAAGAGATTAATCAAGATAAAAAAATTTTCTGCATTTAAAAATGTTAGAAAAAAAACACTTCACAATCCCCTTAGAGCTCAATATATTTAATTGATACTGGGGAAACAGCAAAAAAAATGGGATGGAGATAGAATGAATACACGACAAAGGCACTGCGTTCAATCTTTCTTCGTCCTGTTTTTTGCACTGTTCCCCTCAGTATCATGTACCAACTGGCCCTTTAAGAAACCCTTCTACAGTATTTAATTGCTTTCATGCATGCAACTTTTCCTGCAACTTCAATTATTTTTGGAACACAAGTTGAAAATCCCCCAGAAATAATGTGAGACCTGGTATTGCTTGAAATCCGTGCGCACACGCCAGCCCTTGTCATAGGCAAGTGTATGTCGGTCTTTCTGGAAAAGCGTGTTGATTCGTGGAATGCCACGGTCCCAACTGTCCTCCAAGTCCTCTAACGTCAGGCGTCTGGAAAATGACCCAGCAGTTCAAACCAACTTAGAAAAATATAAAGGCCATATACTTTGGATACCCATGACAGCAAGACAAAACACACTGTCAACAAAGCCAGACTAAATAGCGACTACTGAACACCACATTAATCAGACACTGAACAGCTAAAGAGTAGTTCTTTAAATTGTCCATTACCCTTTCAAGATACAGTATAATCTCGATGATACAATTACGGTTGATCCGAATATTGCGATGACCCACATTTTAAGGTTGTTTCGAATAGACTAGATTATATAAAATGCCCTGTGACTTGGGTGTTATACAAATCATTTCCGCCGCCACCGTGAATGATACAAACGCAATGGTGGTCCAGCGAATCTAAGATATGGAGCAATTTTTGGACCAGGAAAAAAGGCTCCTTTGTAGCAATTTAGGAGCAGCCACACAAGCATTTTGTAGCAGTTCTGTAGCACAAAGGTTTGTGTTTTGGAGCAGTTGGAGCAGGAGAAAATCAAAATGCATTACATTTGGTGCAGCTTATTACTACTGCACAATTGTTCGTTACTTAGAGCAAATAAACACAAGCAAGGCTGATGCAGCGCTACCATTTAGCTCGTGTGCCCACAACAGGAAACCATGGTATGCTGCAAACAGACTTTATTTGCCTAGGTAAATAATGCTTTTACACTACTGAGAATAGTTTTATGCAATTAAACATAATACAAAAGTCACTAGAAGTAGAGAAAAACAATTTTGTGCTGTTAGCAATAAGCATATCTTCGTCTTTCTATACAATTACTGTGATAAGCGTCAGCAACGGCAAAAAAATATTGCAGCTTGTGAACATCGGTGATTGATTCTGAAGCGTGGAAAGGAGGCCAACATAGCCTCTATTTCTCGCTGAAATGAGTGTAACTAATGAATTTTTTAGGCTTGTTGGGCCTTTTGGGCCGCATGGCACAATTTAAGCAAACTTTATGGTTTTTGCTCAGCGTGGCACAAAAATTGGGAATTATATCAAACTGTGCTATTGGGGCAGCTGTTGCACCGCTGTTAGTGGAGATACTGTATTGTTTGGGATGGGCCAACGTAGGCATGAGGAGGAGGAAAAGAACAATTGAAGGACAGGGAGTTAGCCATAGGAGCCATGGTCTAACTGAAATAACGCAATGTAGCAGTTTGAGTTGAGCGATTTTAAAATACATTAAAAACATGGGCCAACCAATACTTAAGAAAGAGAGTTTGGATTATTCCAAGTATTAGAAAAGACACTGCACAAGGTTCCCCAACATTAAAATCAGGGATGAAGTCATGCCAAGGAACCAATCTAACAGCAGCTACGCAACATTGTGACAATAAAAAAGACAAGAAGTCACCTGTTCTGTGCCAGTGCCTCCTGCCGTTTCAGTGCATACTCAGCCCAAACACGCTGAGAATCGATGAATTCACTCTCCCAGGGCTGAATGTATCGGTACAAATTTGGAATCACTTGGTCTTCATCATGGCTCATGCCTGAACGAAAGTGCGTGATGCCCACATCCGTCTGCTTTGACCACCTATGCAAAATGAAGAATAATGTTATCATAAAAAATACCACCAAAAGGAATTCAAATTTCGGTGGAGATAGTGAAAATGACTCAACTTGCTGGATTACAAAGGGCAAAATAAATAAGATCTCCTTATGGGTACAATTAAGTCTACTGTTGGCTTCACAATTCTTCAAGGGCAAGTAAACAACCCCGATGTCTAAAAAATGTTACCAAGAGAAATGTGCGCACTTTTGCTATGTGAACATGCTGCCGCAAACTTTGCAAATGCGTGCCATCATAAGAAAGTTGCAGATGTTAGAACGATCCGTTTCAGCAGCCTCGTCAGCTTTAGGAAGGCAGAAAGCGTAGCTTCTCGCTATGACCGCCATCGGAATTTCCCGGTAAGTGAAATTTCACCCATGAGGAAAAGATACATTTTTTTTTTTAAATGACAGTCTTTCTTGGCATACTTCAACAAAAATATGTTTGTATTTTTGTTGGTGTCTGTCCAATGATTCAGCCACCCAATAAGAGTTTCACCTAGTGTCCAAAGACCACCCATCTAAATCTGGTGGCTGCATTCATACTTGTGAACATTGTCAATCAAAAAGCAAATATTTTGCATTTTGAGGCACAACATCCATACGTAAGTGTTAGGCAGTGTTTTTTATTCAGAAAATGCATAGATACGCAATTCTGAAGACCGAAGTGATCATTAAACTGCGCTGACAGTGTGATGCTATGAACGCAAAAACCGGGTGTCTTTTACGCTTCGCTAAAAAATTCAGGGGCTTTAACTGAAACGAACGGGTGCTCCAGCCAACCAGCGGCTCTGGATTTTAAGAAAATTTTAGTTTCTTCACGTTACTGCCAGATGACGCCATATCTCATACAGCGCATCTGGACAGAAGACTACCGTCTTTAGACACCCTTTGCAACGAAGCACAGGGATACGCGGCAATCAGTTTCGCCGCGATGGCAGCATGTTGATATATGTTGTGCCCATTCTGTGGTTACGCTATAGCGCAATACAGAAGCCATACGGCTGCTTTAAAGGTTGATTTGATATGTGGGGTTTAACGTCCCAAAACCACCATATGATTATGACAGACGCCGTAGTGGAGGGCTTCGGAAATTTCGACCACCTGGGGTTCTTTAACGTGCACCCAAATCTGAGCACACGGGCCTACAACATTTCCGCCTCCATCGGAAATGCAGCCGCCGGCTGCTTTCAAGTTGAAAGTGGTCGATCATGCAATAAACAACGACAACAGGGCCGGCGGTAGGCACTATGAAGACGACACGCTTTGTGTTCGCTACTGGTGATGGCAGCACGGGCAGCTGAAAGCCCCTTGTGCGCCCAAGACTGGGATGGATGGTAAAACTTCATCTCTTCAGAAGACAACTGTGGAGGATTCTGTGTTAGATGGCCATCAGCTACCATAAGCCCAAGGATTACATCATATGCAAGCCTTGTGCGGAATCTCGTGGAGCAAATAACTGTGACGATATGCCCGCAAGCTTTGTGTACAGTATTCCTCTCTACTATATTTGCTTGTAGCTTTTGTGTCCCAAATAAATCTTCCTTTATGTTGAACTTGTGGTTTTGCTGTTAAGTCTTGATTATGGTACTCTTCAAAGCTTCTAATTAGTTGTTATCCTAAGAATCTCGATTTCAGGCCACTTCATTTTTTTTTTCTCTCCAAACGTTTTGCAGAAAATTTTCCTAGTGTAATTCTCGCACCCACGACCTTTTCATTGACCTTTTGTGAAAAAAAGTTCGAGAATTCTGCGAGTAAATACGATAATATTAGTTTTGTTTTATGAAGTGTCGTTTTGCATTTTTGCACATCTGAAAATGTTGCATGTTTTAAGTGAATCTCACAATCAAAATGGCGTATTAGCCTTACGGTGAGTGGTCGTCGCTCTCGAGCTATTTATATAATGCACCGAAGAAGCTTGCGACGAATTTCACTCACGAATGGCTGTGTAAGCCGACGATGCGAGTCATATGCAGTGGCATATTTGGAACATGGCTGTCATTCGAAACACAAGCCCAATCGGACTACTTTGCGGAGAAGTACATGTGCAGTAGTTCCAGTTTAATTACAATACCTACCACCCTTTCATTGATGCTATAGTATTCCTCTATGTTGCCAGCTATGTTTCTGTGAATTAGAAACCCCACTCCCAGTTCACTTCTGTCAGCCAAGCCCCGACAGCAAAGGACGTGCCCATTCTGTAGCACCGTATAAGCCTCATCTGTCCTCCTAACCTCACTGAGCCCTATTATATCCCATTTAACACCCTCTAGCTCCTCGAATAGTACAGCTAGACTTCCCTCACTAGATAAGGTTCTAGCGTTAAACGTTGCCAGGTTCAGGTTCCAATGGCGGCCTGTCCGGATCCACAGATTCTTAGCACCCTCTGCTGCGTTGCATATCTGACCGCCGCTGTGGTCAGTTGCTTCACAGCTGCTGGGGACTGAGGGCCGTGAGCTATCTGACGTATGCATGTGGGAGGTGGTAGTTCCACCCTCGTAGCTTTCCCTTCATTGCCACAGAAAGTTGTTCCCGAGTGTAGTGCTAACAGCCCTTTCCAAATCTTAGAACACTTTTCCACAGTGGGGATTCAGGCTAGCCCATCGCCACTGCACGGGCTTTTTCGCCTATGTCTGCCGTCCACATGTCCCAACGTGACTCTTCTCTTCTCCATGGTTCATCGGCGATGGGAGAGCGGGAATGACGTTGACCTCCCTCATCCGGCAGCGGATGTCGACTGTGGCGCCGCCACGGAGTCGGTCAGGTGACACCAAAACCCGTCGAGCACAAGCATCGAAGGGAGCCCCAGCAGTGCTCCGGGCTGTAGACACAGCACGAACTTTACCTATTCAAGCACTAGAGATTCGTCCGTCCACCCCTTGTCCCTGCAGCGGACGACAATTTTTGGGAACTTCTCCCCCTTCGGCAGAATGTTTCGTTTGAGCACCACGTAGGGTAGCAGCTTGGGACCGTCTGCAGTGCAGGACAACATTACAGCCACCCACATTTTTTCATTCCCAGTTGATCGCACGATAACTTGCCTGGAGCATTTCTGATGCACTATCAGTGTCGAGGGCATATCCAGGTAGACCGGTGTTTGATCCCCATTGCCGATCTGACCCAGCTGAAAAGGGACAGCCTTTCGCAACACAAGTACATACTTTTAAACTTCACAAGGTCCTCTTTGTAGCTATCTAGCAGCTTCTGCAAGATCAACATACGCCGACGTAAAGAGAACTCAACGCGGCGCATGTAGAGAGACACCCAATGCTTGCTCACTTTGAAATCCTCTGGCTGAATGCTTTTGTCTCGCAATCTCCCTTGCCTTCACTTGTATCAGCTCGATGTAAACAGAGAGATGTGCCGCTCGCTGCTCCCCACAAAGTCTGCGTGCCCTTGTTCTATGTTCAAATGAAACATTGGCTAAGCAACACACGCGATCACTGCCTTGTGAACAGTTAATGATGTAGTGGCACCTCAGTTTCGTCACTTTCGTTACTTTGAGGTAAGCGTCGGCACACACACACGTTATTGCTGGAAGCCAGTTGACAGAGTCGGGGCAATTTATAAAATTCATTTCTTAAAATCTGCTCGTCTCTTCAGCCTGTAATTGGGGACGTATGATAGAAACGTGCAAATGAACGTACCCAGGGAATTTCATTGAGATCTATTAACCTTGAAAAATCGCCGAAGTTGGCCTTTCTACAATGAAGAAAAAAAAACTGGGTGTGCACTGCAATTGGGTAAAGGTTACTAAGTGGATTTAATAAGTGACTCTCTGGCTAGTATAGTCGTATGTGCAAGTTCTTATGCTTGTCACACCAACTAAAGAGCAAGAAAGCTGTAAGGAAGCACCTGAGGTCTGACTGTGGGATGAGCACATGGCCCATAGACAACATGCCTAAGCCACCCAGCTCCTTGGGGGTGTAAAACACCACGGGTGGGAAGCGGCTGGGCATCTTAGAGTTGAGGCCAATCTTGATACGGGTCTGAATCTTGTTCTCACACTTCACCAACAGGTCAAGCAGCTCTTGCGTATTGACAACAGCCTCCCGGTAGTATGTCATCAGACCAATCAATGCCGTGTTCCACTTGTTCACGATCTGCTCGCAAACAAAAAATGTCACGCACTCATTGCATTGTGGAAAGAGACTGGAACTGTTACAGAGTACTATTATACCTTGCTAAAACATTGCATCTTCCTTTAACATATCAGCATACGATAATACACCCCTATGGTGAGCCAGCAAAGAAGCACCTATGGATCTAATGGCACCGCTTTCTGTTCTTATATGTGGTATATGAAAGCTTTACAGACAAGCACTTGCAGCTGTTGCTAAATGTGACTGTACCACAGAAATGATTATGCATGAGAGCTGCAATGGTTTTCCAGCTGCACATAAGCCAAGTCAAGTCAGTAACATGTTCCTTCTGTGCTCTGTACCACATCAAATCGCTGATTTTGAATGATGTCGCAAACCCATAGAGTAATATTTTGTCAACCTAATGTAACAAAAAACAGAAAAAAACACGAAAACTTAATGTAGCAAAAAGAAAAACAGAAATAACTTAGAGAAGAGCTGAATTTTTATATACAATTGCAGTAATAGCAGAAAAATGTGGAGTTTATTGTAAAGGTTCACAACAACAAACCAGTTTTCCAACAAGAATTACTACACTAGCTCTTCGTAGTCTTAATATGAAGTAAACAATCAAGCATTCCAGTAATGACAACAAGCCAATTTTGTAGCATTTCCATTGCATTCAGCACAGAAACACTGCACACAGTTGGTCTGCCTTGTGGTAGGCCTTGAATCTAGGAAACTATCCAAGCAGCTCTTACTTACTTTTCTGAACTTCCTAAAATATCAGGAAAGACCTGTTTATTCCTAGGTTTCACAGCATCATAATATTTATAATATTACCACTAGAACTCTACCTGTTGGTGAAAAACAATGACAGCAATGCAGCCACTTACCTTAGTGAAAGTGGTAGATCCAGATGCCATAAGGATTTGTCGGACTCTATTGTGGAAACGCTGCATTGACTCATCATCGACTCGCAAGAAGCACTGTGCTGTTCTTTCCTTGGTCACCTGTGGGCACAAAATGGTAATAGTTGTAGCAGCTCTTTCTTTCCAACTTTAGCAAGGGTGGACACATTTTTTTTCTGCACAGCAAAGCTGCATATAACTCCGCCATTCGTATCTCTGCAAACAGTAACAGTTACCTACTCAACATAAAATTATGATTTCAGAAATGGTCTTTACCTTTAAATAAAAAAAAAGTGACCGTGGTCACCGAGACTGAGCTCAACCAGCAGCTGTAAAACTGGGCAAACTGGCTGAAGTAACAGCAACCTTGAGAGTAACAAAAAGAATGAGTTTCCATGGATAGGGTGCCCCTCCTAACCAGAAAGTGGTAGACCTAACTAAACAGCAGCTGCAACACCGGTGGCACACTAGAAATCAGTCAGGTGCCCCTGAAAGTCAAGCCAACTAGGACTATTTTTTTTTTCCTGACCTTTATTTTTTTTTTACTTTTTTGAAGGTCTGATCCGGGCTATATATATGCTGCCTGTTGATCCTCCATTTGAAAGGGCACGGCTCAGATCATCGTAATCATGTATATATAAACATCATCATCATCATGAACTCACACTATTCGCGCTCTCGTGCGTTCTGGAAGCCGGATTGTAGCTGTCATACTCCTATAATACGGCTTCCAGAACACAGGGGAGCGCGAACAGCAGGAGTCATACTTCATAAAGCAATTCAGATCACTCGCCCACGGAATCAACGAGAACCTTGGGCGACTGACATGCCTCCGCGAACTCGTGAAACACAGAAAGTGAATTATCAATTTATTTATACATACGTGAATTCGCACACATAGGATGATCGTTCTAGCCTTTGAAAATAAACCAATTCGATGCTACGTGCATCAACCGGCGCGGGTTAGTATTATTAGTTTATAATAATTTTTCACGTTTTTCATTTTTTATTTTTAGTTCTTTTGTCTATGCTTTTGTTGGTTCATCTCTTGAAAAAAATATCCATTCATTTATTTTGAGTTTTACTGGTTATACGATTTTCTGCAGGAAGGAGGAAGCGAGGAGGGGGAAAAGGCACATTTATCTTTGTATCGTGGCCAATGTTTTCCTAAAGCTGGAGCGAGTTGTATGTATGTTCTTGTGTGTGTATGGCCTGACGCAGCAGGCGAGCCGCCGAACCACCTGAACTTTAACCCAATCCATGTGCGAGATGTGAGAAAGCGGCAATATTCTGAACTTTTTCCCCTTTTCGTTGGTCACCTCCTCTGGTGGCACATCTTATCTACCTCTAGTGACAATCTACTCCTAGTGACAATAAATGGGTTACTCGCCTGCTTTAGACGGCTCACCGTTGTTCCTTTCTTCTTCTTTTTGTTGTCTCTCGCTTGCCTCATTATGTTAAGGTCTTTTTTACGTTTCCTTTTTTTTTTGGGGGGGGGGGGGGGGGGGGGGGCCCAAACTGTGAGGGCGGCCTTCTGCTACAGATTGTGGAACTTGTACTTTTTCATTTACATCTTCCGAAGAAGGCTAGACCACCAGCCGAAACTGTTAGGATTAAATAAATAAGTAATTGTTTTGTTTCCTATATTGCCCTACTCTCAAGCTCACTATATATATATATATATATATATATATATAATTGTCGCGATGTAGCGAGAACAAAACAGAAGATAGAAACAACTTGTGACAGTAAAACGGCATGTCTCGAAATCAGCAGTACACAGAACGCCTTCTTCATCTTCCTTTCCTAAACCTACAGTCGCACTACTCGAAGTCTGCAAAACACCTCCATCGTCATTCTCTCCTGCATATATACACGTGTCACTTGCCCCTCCTTATAGGAGCATCACCACGATGCTACATCAGAGCTACTGTTAAGCGAAAACGCACAGTCACTGACGAATGGCTTCATGCGTACCACATATACAAGTTCAGGCCGGTGCTGTTGACACCTGTTGCAAGAGAAACTGTTGAGTATGACCTCGTAGGTGATGTCACTTAACTGTTGAAATACTCGATATGGTCTGAAGTATCGCCTGAAGAGTTTCTCGGACAGTTCACGTTTTCGTATGGGTGTGTGAACCCGCACTCGGTCACCAGTTTCATAGGTTACTGCTCTCCAGTGGGCATTGTAGCAACATGCATCTAATGTTGTTGCTGGCGGATTCACAAGCGTGTGAGCTGGCTGGCTTCTTCGGCGCGTTCAGTAACTATGTCGGCGCCCGTGTCATTGCCATCCCATGCATATGGTAACATGGCATCCAACATTGTCTGTAGCTCCCGTCCGTGAACGAGGCTGAATGGAGTCATGAGAGTCGTTTCGTGCTTAGCTGTATTGTACGTGAATGTGATACAGAGCAAGATTTCGCCCAATTTTTTTGTCCAACGTCCACGTACATGAACAGCATATCTTCAATCGTCTTGTTTAGGAGCACTGTCAGTCCGTTTGTCTATGGGTGGTAGGCAGTGGTAATTCGATAACTTGTTCCACTTAACATCAGGACCTACTTTAAAGAGCCGCCGTGAATGCAGCCCCGCGGTCTGTTATCACGACTGTTGGCGCACCATGCCACAGTACAACATTTTCTATGAAAAATTTGGCTACCTCCATTGCTGTGCTTCATTAGATAGCCTTCATTTCGGCGTACCGGCTAAGGTAATCTGTTGCAACGATCCCCCAGCAGTTCCCTGCAGCAAAAGTAGGAAGTTAACCCAAGATACCATACCAGTCTCGTCGAATGGTGCACTTCGGACTTGAACAAGTTGCAGCAAGCTGGCTGATTTCGTCGAAGGAGACTTACGTTGCTGGCAGTCCAAACAAGTACGAATGTGTTGCTTCACGGCAGAGGTGAGCCTTGGCCAGTAGTGTCTTTGCTTAAACCGGACACCCAATCACTTGCTATGGTGGGACTCAGACCATGCTTTCCACATTAGACTTTTTTTTTATATGATTCCTTGGGTGAATTGAGACACTTTGTTTTAACAGCGAGACAGATATGAAACATGTAAATAAAATTTATTGTTGAAGATTCTTTTTAAAGTTTTCTGAAGCGAGTGTCAAAACTTCAATTGCGATTTTCCCAGCTTCACATTTTTTTGCCAGCCTGAATAGCCTGTGGGAATTGAGGCTGGCCCGCTGCCTTTAAGCGGGCTTTCCCGCCTTTTCTGCCGTTCTCATGTCCCGACATGTCTGCCCTCTTTGCTGTCTGCCGCGCTGGGAAGGGCGGAGAGACGTATAACTCCCTCACCCGGTAGCGGATGTTGACTGTGGCGCCGCACGCGGGGACCCCTGGGAGGTTTTCGCGCGCTGCGTCGGGAGCGGTCAGATACTCTCCGGGACAGCAAACGGTGAGCCACGCTATCTTTTCGTCCGTCGACTCCCGTCAGTCGGGGGCTCGTCGGACTTCGCTGACGGCGCCTCGCGCCCAAGGCGAACGCTCACCCGCTGTTTGCCCCGCTGCGTACGCACGGCCGAAGGGCGGTACGGTGTCCTAGTGCGTGGCCTCGCTACGCCGACCCGTCTCCCTTCGAAGCCCACGCGAGCGCCTTTGCCCTCGCTCGAGCAACCGGGCCTTTGCTCCGGTGTCTCCGTGGATCGGCTTTACCGCGGAGACGTGCTCGTGGCACCCCTGTGTAGTACTTTGTGCCCGTGGCGTGGATAAGCCTACTTGCTTTCCCGCCGCGCCTATTTGCAACGGGCTGTACTGCGTTTGGTGTTGCCACAATAAAGTGTTGCGACGTTGAGCAGTATCGTGTTCTCGCCACGGCGACGGTTAACGCGTGCCCTGCGGCTCGCTAAGACCGGACCCACGCTGGTGGCCGTACTCCTTCGGGATACGTGTACACCACAAGCCTTACAGAACATTTTGCTGCGTTTTTGTGAGACAATTTTTATAAATTTTATACTGTTGAACTTACAAGGAATCAAACTGTGAAGCTACGCTATTTCTTTATAGCACATATCCAATCTTGTGGACACTAGTGTTAGCTAACTGCATCCAAGAATTATAGAGCATCAACACAATTATAAATATTTATGAGATATGTCAGTAAAAATATAAATAGCATAGCTACACATGGCAGACCTTTAGCTACAGCTGCATCTTAATCTAAACCAAAAAAATATTAAGGGACAGTGTCTTAATGACCCATAAAAAATGACCTAATTAGACTTTGCTTACTATCACATAATCTGATAGCTGAGATACATTAAAACTAATTACATTTTTGAAAACAGGAGAAAGAAACACATTCAGAAACCACATTTCATTACAATATCTCTAATATTAAAAATCTTCCCATTTAAGACCAGTGTCCATAGTTAAACATACAGTTAAAGCTCGTTATAACAAAATTGGAGGGCCGCCGCTATTTGCTCGTTATAACCAATATTTCGTTATAGCCATAGCGGGCATTTGCCGCAAATATTATGCACTGTACTTATCCCCAAAAAATAGCGGGCGAAATAGCATCCCGCCGCACGGTGGTATGCAACAAAATAACCGCATTCCCAAATAAAAAGGAAAAAGTCATGCACCTGTTTTAATGCACTTCAAAATACACAGCTTGCATTTCAGACAGACTTAGCTGCAAAGAAGTCCGTAATTGGACGTTCATGCATCTTCCTGATGCGAACGATGGCTCGCTCAGCTGCGGCCGCAATGTTCAAGCCATCTTCGCCGCCCTCGTGAGCGCCGAAGTAGCGGCGCAGTACGTCCACCGCGTCTAATGCCTCCGACGCCGTCGGCACGTTTGTCTCCTGTTCGTCGACAGAGTCGTCGTCACTGGTTTCGTTACGATCAGTGACAGTGCACACAATATCGTCATCCAGGAGCTGCTCCGTTGCCACCACTTCCGAGTCCGCACTCACATAGTCGCAAAACGACTCGCTGTCAGGCACGACACCGGCGTCACGAAGTGCCGTCCATGATGCAGCGACTTCGTCTGATGTGGCAAAACCGTCCGGCCCAGTGGGCTCGTCTGATGGCTCATCACTGGCGTCTGGTGCGGCGGCAAATGAGGCGTGTCGCAAGCAGTTTGCGATCGTGGTCGCCGTCACACTCATCCATGCCGCCTGAAGCATTTCGAGCGCAGCGTACAAGTCAACATCGCTGTCTCGCTTCATCCTCATGTTGAGCAGGAGCTTGTCTATCACACGCTTGCAGTAACCTGCCTTCAGCGACATAATCATGCCTTGGTCAAGCGGCTGTATTTTTGCTGTGCAGTTGGCAGGAAAGAACAGCAGCTCGATGTTTTGAAGCACGGCAGCGGTATGGTGGACGGTGCAGTTATCTAAAACAAGGCACACCTTGCGGTTCACCTTTGCCAGCTTCTCGTCCCATTCGCAAAGCCATCTTGAAAAAATCTCCCTGCTCATCCAGGCTTTGCGATTGGCTACGTATTTGACTGGGAACTGCCTCTTCCCCTTAAAGCAGCGAGGGGATGCACTTTTGCCAATTACGAAAATTGGCAGCTTCTCAGAGCCGGTCATGTTTGCACAAAGCAGCGCAGTGATCCGCAGCTTACTTTGTTTGCCGCCATGGTACGGCTCGCCTTTGAGGGCTAACGTCTTGTGCGGCAACATCTTGAAAAAGAGAACGGTTTCGTCCGCATTAAAAATATCCTCCGCGCTGTATTTTTCTAGCAGCCGCACGATGTTTTCTTTCGCCCACTTCGTAGCCTCTGCTTCGTCGACAGATTGCGATTCGCCGCAGACCGCTCTCCCGACAATGTCGTGGCGCTCCTTGAAGCGTTGAAGCCAACCCGAACTTGCTATGAAGTTGTCATAGCCCATGATGCAGGCAAAGTCTCTCACTTTTCTTTGCAGCAAGGCGCCGCTCACCGGCAGATTCACGGCCCGCGTGTCCAAGAACCATTTAAAAACGGCCTTTTCGACCGCTTCAAAGGCAGGTGCCTTCATCCTCTTAGCGCTTCCTTTCACGCCATGTGCAACAGCGTCGATGATGGACTCCTGCTTGCTCAAGATGGTTGACAGTGTGCTCGTCGATACGCCAAAGTCTCTTGCCACGTTGCCTTTCTTGGTCCCCAATTCGACGGCTCTTATCATAGCCGCCTTCTGATCTAGCGTTATGCGCTTTCGCTTCCCGCCTGGCGCATTCATGTTGCTGTAATCACGAGCGCAACTAGATAAAAGATAAGGCGGAAGCGGTCGAAAAAGAGAAGAAACACGCACGCAAAAGCAATGCGGCTCACGTCGGCGAGCGACAACACTTGCAGAGAAAGTGACTGTGAAGAGGAAGGGGCAGAAGGGGCGCTCTTTTGCGCTGCCCTCTAGGAACCAGTTACTCAAGGGAAAGGGGGTATGCAAGATTAGGAAGCGTGCCTCAGCACCATGAGAAAGGGGAGAGAGAAAATATAAAGAAGACACAAAAGATAAGGGCGAGGCATTCGCAGAGCTGCGGAGCGCTCCGCTGTCGGTGGTAGCCAAGCGGCGCACGTGCAGCGACCTCTCCTCCGGAAACAGCGCGTGCCGTCTGCTTTGCGCGCGTTGCTGGAGGGCGTGTGGCAGGAGTTTTGAACTGCTAAATACAGTTCTCGCGTTGCGCGCCTTCTCAAATTCGCGTTGTGCACTGTCGTGACATAGGCTCAAAATTTTACTTCCTAACAAAATTTGTTCGTTATATCCCATAACAGGCAAATTTTGCCTCGTTAAAGCGAGGTTTTGAATACATTGGTTTGTATGGGGACTTTCAAGGGGAATTAGGATTTGCTCGTTATATACATTATTTCGTTATAGCCCATCTCATTATAACGAGGTTTAACTATACATAGTTACACTATATTGAACTTTTATTGCATTATTATTTTATAATATAATGGCATGATTTCACGTTGTTTCAGTCATTGACGGCACTGGCAATCACACCGAAATAAAGTGAACAGATACATCAAACAATATTTTTTTTGTCTTTTTTTTCACAAGAACCAAAGTGGGGTACGGTTTATCATGTGAGTGGGTTCATTACGGAAGTGAATACGATATAATGATTGAGTATACTGGAATATAGTATAAGGTGTGTTTAACATGTCACTAGTGACGTACTTGATATGGCTGGCAACATTGACACTTGCGAAAGCAGTTGAATAAATGTACACATGTTAATTTCGTTTAACCGCATCTATTGTCTCTGCGTGTTCCGACAGCGTTCCTCATCTCAAGATCCCACAGCGTACACTTACAAATACACATATTTGCTAAATGGTGATCCACAATGTTTCATCAAGTCAAGTGGGTTTCAAGAACACTAACAGAACTTTTGTGTTGTGCATCACACACTGCTGTCTTGCCACAGGACAAGGAAGTTGACAGAAAAAGATGTGTGTAAAAGTGGGATTCAACTGTAGAAGCTTACTTCATTCTGCAGGTTCCACACACCATCCTTGTGGCTGAACTCCTCATGGGTCATACGGCACTTGGGCAAGATACGGCACTCAAAGCCACCCATGTTGAACAGCAAGTTGGGATTGTCCTTGCTATAGACGGACACAAAGCTGCTCTCCCACTGGACTGTCGTCACTGACCGCGGCAGTCGGTTTTTGATGTCCCAAAACACTGCACGACCCCTGCACAGCAGCAGCACGGAACACTTGGGACTAAGAGACAGTATCATTGAAAACTAACAAGCAATGCAATAATGCCTTGGAAATTATTGGGAATGTTATTCGCAGTAATTGTAATGTAAATGTGAAGAAAGAGAAGAGGATGAAAAGATTACTTGCCACTGGCAGAGACTGACCTGCTATCTTTAAATATTGTGTCCAATGCTGTGTCAACTGAGCTACAGCGGCAGTCATCCCCTGTCTACCCATCCACATTTTGGACAACCGTGTTAGTGCCAATGTTGGCCATGACTGAGAGAGCACTACAATCATTGCAGTGATATCGTGGAGAACTTTGTGCAACATCTCTGTGTATAAATTTTTTTACCTTGATGTCGCAGTCACGCTATGAAAAGCCTTACAGAGCCCAGACAAGCCTACGAGCACCTTTAGACTCGGCCTATAATTGATAAAGCCAATTTGAAGATACAGTTTTCTTAGGCTCCTTAAAGAGACCGACAACTGCAACAAACATGAAATGAGATGACTCCACTGATGGGAAAATTGTCCAGCCCGTACTCAAACCAACCTTTTTTTTTTCCATCCTAGGGATGGATTTATATTCTTATTTCTACATTGAAAGTTGCAAAATATGATATTTGGCACCTCTGGCGGCAAACACATGAACGCAATGATGTACCCAGCCACATGACTATTGACTGCTGTACACGGCTGACAATTTTTTGTTAGTATTGAAATATTATTCTCGTTCTATTGAACAATATTACTCCATAGAAAGGCCTGCATTAGTGGTACGCATTAAAGTGACACTGCCTTCACGTGCAAAATGATCCCATGTTAGTCAGCATGTCTTAAGCAACTTTCCAGCATGGAATTTTAGAGGTTGCTAAGATTTTGGAGCTACATAGTTTTTCTATCTACACAAAATCCAAGAAATGACGTCCTCTGCTATTCAGCCCAGCCTTGCATATGCATAATGATGTTCTCAGTGACTTGGCTTGCTTCGGGTATCGACAGAGTAACAATGCAGGACAGATTGCCCATGACACAAGCTCAGGAATACGCAACTCAATGCAAATATAAAATCTCAAAAACACCAGGTAAATACAAATTTGTCCATGACTATGATTGCACAAAGTGTCACACAATGTCAACACCATCGTCCGCTAGCCCTGCATTCCTACAATCCTTCGTGCATGCTGAAATACTGTACATGCTAAACATCTCTCATGACGTTGCTGCAGGAGTTTTTCAATCTTATCCAAATTAAATATTGTTGAAGGGGGGAGGCTACCTTGAAAGGGCAACTTTTTTTTTGTTGAGATATCCTAATAAAACTTTCAGAGTAAGCTAATAGCAATGCCATTTGAATATTCAAACAATTTCATGCATTTATGCTCACTGGTTCCCAAGTTACAACCCCTTATCAGCGTAATCCACATGGGTTTCTTAGTGAGGCTCTGGTGGGGGGTGCTAAAGCATTGCTAAAATAAGCGTTCTGGCAACACAGTAAATGCGCTGCGGTGTTTTGGCAACACGGTAAGGAGTATATATTGAAGCTAAAAGCCGTTAATGCCACATGCATATGGTGTTGCCGGACAGTGTACGCCACTTGAGCTGCAGCTAAGACATCACTTTACACTGGCTGCCACAAAACAAACCCCTACACTCAAAGTGGCTGAGTGTCATGCCTCTACGCCAGCGTTGCCAATGTTTGTTATCAGATTCACCAAAGATATGCTGTCATGAGTTAAGAGTGTGCCAAACACTGGAATGCGGCGATGGTGCGTGAGGACCAGATTGTGCGCATATGCACCATATTCACGTGCAAGATTGGTTGAAGCAAAGACAGTGGCGCATGACCCGAGCTGTGATGGGAAATCCCCAGAAGATGAGGTGGCATTGTCCTTTGGAGTGAACGAGGAAGGTTGAAGAAGACAGTGTCGTTCTCACGGCAAAGGCTCGGTTAACCTGGATCTGAAGGCGGCAGTGTTATACCCCTGTCACAAGGCCACCACCAAACTCCGTTGAACACCGTCAACGTAAATCTCCCCAAGGGGATTCGAAGGAGAAGGAGTTGTGGCAGCGTCACATGGCAATGACAAGGTTGTAACAGTTGCCGCGAGGGGGCTCAGCTGGCGCTGTTTGATTTTCGGAAAAGTATTCTAATTTGATCCCTATTGATTTTTTTTGTGAATCCTCGTTATTCGGATTTTACAAAAAAGCACTATAAAGTAGGTACGCGACTAACAAACTATTAAAAATAATTTCAAATAAAAAAAGTGCCGCCTTATCCACAAAGTGAATGATGATGAGTGGGCGAAGCTCCGGAGGTAAACCTGGCAAATCATGAATTCTCCGTTCATTTCGCCCACTCGATTTTATTGCAGCGCTCTCCCTAGCGTACGTCGCCGCACAAAATCGAACGTTTGGCTTCCACCAATGACACGCGCCATATGTGACATGATTCCTATTTTATAACATCTCACATCTTCCATCACCAACAACAAGTACCAGCGTCTAGTTTATAACACATTGCGCTTTTCATCAGCAGCTACAACTACCGCCATCTAGTGAACACTGCAAGAACTAAAGGAGAGGTGGCTACATACAGGGGACGCACAGCCCATGCCTTAAGGAGCTTCGCCCCTAAAACGCATTTGCTAATTGTAGCAATGCTGCTAGTGACGCTGGCCACATTGTGCTTTTAGTTGTTTTGTTGCCTGTGTACATGCCCAGTACGAAAGTTCTTATGCTTCCTTGCCTCGTGAGCACACATTTTGTGTTCTTCAGCCATGGGTGACACAGCGGACGACGTGAGGAAGTGGTGCGATATTGCGCTGGTAATGACGTTGATCGGCTGGCGCCGGCCGGCCCGACTCGCGAGGCATGGTGTGTAGGGCATCGGTGTTGAGAGTAAGTGAACTCTGGCGGGCGTAAATATTGTGAACAAACACGCGTTGTGAATGAGTACTACAACGAAAGAACGTTTAATAGTGCTAAAATGTATTATTCTTTCACTGCGGCCGCTTAGTGCTCGAAATTTTTCTCTGACCTCTAGACTGCTGAGGACGAGAGTACCTCCTTTCGCTGCAAAGGGAGATCGTTGAACGTCCTTTGCAAAATGCTCCGTTCACCTTCGTTTGCGTAAGGGTGGCCGTGTGACACCAACCGCATCTTCGTTGTCGTAGAGACGAGGGAGTTAAACGGTCTTCACGGGTGCCCGTGTGACAGGGGTATTAGGGTATCAAGAAGCAGCTGTCGTTCACAGTAGTCATCGAGACACGCAATTCTTCAGAGCACTCGGCGATGGTAGTTTCGTTCGCTGGCTTCGCGGCTGTGACCCGAACCCCATTGCGGCACATTCGAGGGTGCTGTGGAACCTGCAGCACTTTGCAACAGCACTTCTCAAGACTCCTGCCGCTCTTTCCGTTCTTCACAGGATGGTGGCAAGATACTGGGCAGTCTTCTGATTGACACAGTAAGACACAGTCTTCTGATAAACAGTAAGAACATTCGATTGAAGAATGAGTGTGCGTAATTACAGAGAAGTCATAGTGGCTATAGATTGGCTTGGGCTAGAATTGGCTATAACGTGGATAATTATCAGTTCTAGCTAAGTTGTATAGCCGAGTCTTGTTTGTGTGCATGATGGTCTAATGCAAATTTTGTGTATTTGTTTCTTCTGTCCGTCCAGTGTATAAAGTTTGTCTTGCCACCGTGGTCTCTTGATCCAATCCTTAGCAAGCCCTCCTGAGATAATTATGAACAGTGGCCATGTTATGGGCATGTCCACCAAGACATCACTCATGAAGGGCACCGCTTCCACCTGCGTATAGTCAAGGTGAGCAGCCTTCCGTGAACTTATCTGCTGTGAAGATGATTGAGATGGTTCATGCCGCTTTACCGAGTTACATTTTGCAGTCTTTCTTTCAAAATACCACACTTAGCTTCCAAACCAATAACGAGTCATTTTTATAGCACTGTCCAATGCCATTTGTCAGCACAAGGAGTAGAAGATGAAGAGGCAAAGGGGCTGGCAAGGCATAATACCGTATAAACCGGAATATACCGTAATAACTCGAATCTTACGCACACCTTTTTTCCGGTTAAGCAATTCATAAATCGCATGCGCGTTGAAATCGGGTGCGAAAAAAAATGAATACGGTCATTCTATTGCCATCGGCATTTCCAAAATGGCCGCCCCCTACGTGCTTCGGCATGGCGCGTCGGCCATTTCTGCCTACGTGTTTCCCATGTGCGGCACTTCGTACGTGTGCTGAGGAGTTCGTCATCTTGTAGTTCATTAGCATCGACGGCATGGAAGGGCCGACTCCAAAAACTCGACGAGTGCACCACGATGCCACTTTTAGGGGGAGATGCGAGTCGAAAAATCGCGTTTTTAGCGAAATTTCTCGTATTTATGATTTTTATTGCATTGTAATCTTCAAACCTTCTTCTTTCATCTGTGAAAATTTCAAAACTAAATTCGAACCACAAAATGCAAAAAAAATGTGTATGAAGGCATCGCGATGGCTCAAAATTTCGTGAACTTGCGCCGATATTGGCCATCTTTGACTGCGCGCTGCTCCCCGTCGCAGTGTCGCCCACCATCGTGATCGGTTGGGAAAGTTGCGTCCGGCCTTCTTCTTACAGCTCCGACGACCGCCAGTTTCGTACGTGGGCAAAAAAAATAAAAAACGAGGCCTTTTTATCACGTGGTTTTAGCGGTTTGAAACGCGCGGCACTCTAAGCCGCATCGCCATTGGCTACCGAGTCATTGTCAGCTGTGTTGGTCGCGGCCATCGGCATTTGGTCCGTCTGCTTTTCTGCGCGTCTACGCATATTTCCGCGATGACAAGCCCGAAAAAGTGCAAGGTGAGACCGCAGAAGTTTCGAACGAAGCACAAGTTCAAGGGAAGGCGGTGTAAAGCGCCCCGAACGACGGCGACGAACGAGAACGCGCCTGCGTGTGCTAGGCCTGACGGCGGCATCGACGAGTGCGCGAGCGACAGTGGCTGCGATGAAGGGATTGACGCTGCACTTTCTTTCGTCAGTGCTTCGGAAAAGAAGCTCGGCTTCTTCGAAAAAGACGAAAGACAGCGCGATGAGGTTTGTGCAACAACAGTTTTGTGCGACACCCTCTTGCTGACGGCACTTGTGGCAGGTGCGGCATGTCCTGCTTGCGGTATTAAAAAACTTGCCGTTCGGAAGCCGGCAGAAAAGCGCAAGGGACTTTCGTCGCTCCTCGAACTTCACTGCGAAAACAGCGAATGCTCAGCGACTGTTCTTTCGTGCTCCTATACGTCACTGCGTGTTACGGCGGACGGCAGCAGCCGAGTGAGCCAAAGGTACGACAGTGGGAGCTCCCGAGATAGTTTCACTGTAAATGTGAAGGTGGTGGTGGCTGCACGCGCTGTCGGCATTGGGCATGAGCAATTGTCGAGAGTTTGCTCCATTATTGGACTCCCAAAGCCAATGCACCACCGAGGATTTTTTTCGATAGCAAAGAAGGTGCACACTGCTGCCATGGCAGCTGTGAGTGAAAACTTGCGCCGATCCAGAGAGTTGACGAAAAAAGTAGCAGGCGAAACTGATGTGGCTGTTATGTTCGACGGCACTTGGCAGAAGAGGGGCCACAAAAGTCACAACGGGATTGGCGCAGTTATCTCCTTAGATACTGGCCTCTGCTTAGACTTCGAGGTCATATCAAATTACTGCCTGACATGCAGTAGGCACAAGGATATGGGCCCAGACGAGGAAGTGTGGCAGGCATTCCATGGCCCAGTCTGTGAAAAAAATGCAGACTGTTCCTCCCATGCCATGGAAACGGAGGCTGCAATGCGCATTTGGCAGAGAACATTGACTTATGACACCCCACTGCATTTCATGACATTCTTGAGTGACGGTGACAGCAAAGCATATAGTGCAGTTGCAGAGTCAAAAGTCTATGATGTTGTCAATATAGAAAAAGAAGACTGCACTAATCATGTGGCCAAGAGACTTGGCACCGCGCTACGGAAGCTGCATGTGCCATTACCACGAGGGCAGAAAATGAAAGAGCCAGCCATTCAGAAGCTCCAAACATACTATCAGATTGCCATACCAAGCAACAGGGGGAGTGTACGGGATATGTACACTGCGGTATGGGCTTCGTACTTCCACTCATTGCTCTACTGACAATGCTGGCAGCCACAAGTTTTGCCCTGCAGGAACAGAGTCGTAGTGCAAACATCAACGCGCTGAAGCACTTGGTGAACCTGCACCACGCCACACACCTCTCCTGACAAAAGCACAGGGATTGGCTGTTTTGCCCATTTATAAGCGGCTAACGGATGAGAAGCTCCTTGCTCGATGCATCAAAGGGAAAACCCAGAACGCACCGGAATCCCTGAACAGCAAAATTTGGCTAATTTGTTCCAGGACTAAGTTTGTCTCCCGAACGGTTGTCGAGACTGCCGTAGCTATGGAAATCCTGTGGTTCAACAAGGGTCATGCCACTTTCGAGCACATCCTGGAAGAGCTCAACATACTGCCATCTAGAGATCTAGTTACTTTCCGTGATTCCCGCGATGCGAGGCGCATCAAGAGAATGTCCGAGCGTCTGACAGCAGAAGCAAGGGCCCACCATCGTCGTGGAGTGAAGTGGGCCCACCGTCGTCGTGGAGAGCTGCTCGCCGAATATGTGCTTGAGCAGCGAGCGGCACAGTGGCCCGTGACGACAGTACTGCGTGACGACAGAAGTGCGGGCTATGCAGTTAGCTTTAGAAAAAGGGCTAATGCGGAGCCAATTCAAAGCGAGCAGGTGCTGGCTAACTAACTTTATGAAGAGGAAAGGCTTTTCCGTCCGAAAGCGAACGGGCATGCGCGAAAACTTGCCGGAGGAGTACGAAGAAAAGCTTCACAGTTTACAGAGGTTCGTCCTAAACTTGCGGCACAACAACGTCGACCTGCTTGGGCAAATCGGGAATGCCAATCAGACGCCGCTTTACTTCGACATGACTGGCACCACAACCGTCGAAAAGAAGGGGGCGAAGGAAGTTCGCATGCTGACATCGGGCCACGGTAAAACAAGAGTGACGGCAATGCCCCGTTGCACGTCAGATAGTCATAAGCTTCCCCCGTACCTCATATTTAAACGGAAGACGCTCCCGAAAGGAGTCGTTTTCCCGAGTAGTGTGATCGTGCAGACCAACGAGAAAAATGGGTGCGCGTTGCAATTGATGTCTTACTTTTTTTTTTCGTCGTGAAAACCGAGTGCGCGTTACAATCGAGGGCGCGGTAGAATCGAGTTAATACGGTAAGTCGAGATATTTTCAATAAAATAATGAGCTAAAGTCGCCCCTCGTCTTATATAGCGTGTCTAGCCGAAACTCGTTCTTTCCTCGAACCATAAACGACTGGAACTGCTTACCTCAATTGTTAACCGGCTCTGTAGAGGCACTTGAGCATATTTAACCATGACCTATGTATCTTTTGTATATGATGTGTCTTTTTATTGTTCTTGCTGTTTTACACCTGTGTGCAATGTTACGATCTTGCCCCTCCTGCTGGGGCCCTTAAATGGGCCTGCAGTATTTTGTAAATAAATAAATAAATATATAAATAAAACGTGCGCCGTTGTCTGGCAACGTGTGGCTTGCATGTGCTTGAAAAGCCGGACGCGGCCATATCCGCATCCAAATCCAATCGCAGGCTGTTTTTTTTTTCTCCGTTTGTTTTTTTTTGTCTTCATGATTTGCTTCCGATCTGTTCCGAGTTTTCGCTCCGCTTGACATTGCGATGCATTTTTAGTGGTCCTTTCACTAAATATGAGTTCACTCAATATGAGTAGCGGTGCGAGGAGGCAGTACTCAGCTGCGTTTAAAGTAGATGAGTTCGCAGAAGCGAACGGGAATATGGCTGCTCAGCGCCGCTTTGTGATGCTGTTGGAGGGCGCAGAAAGGAAAGCTGCAGATGTGCAATCCTCGAAAAATGTCTTTTCGTGTACGATGTGCCGTTCATCCGCAGCTGGAAGATAAGCTAGCGGACTTAGTGCGGGAAGTTCGTGCGCACTCGCTGCCAGTGACCGTGGATACCATTCGCAAGAAAGCCGTGAAACTCGCTCGAGAAGCTGGGCTCACGAGAGAACAGTTTCGTTCACAAAACTCTTGGGTGCGTCAATTTATGCGACGCAAAGGATTTTCTCTCAGGCGGCGCACATCCATCTGTCAAAAGTTGCCGGAAGAGTTCCAGGACAAGCTCAAACTTTCAGCGCTTCGTGAACCGGCTTTGGGAGCAGAACGACTACATGATGGGGCAGATTGGCAACGCCGATGAGACCCCCGTGTGGTTTGACATGCCTTCGTCGACCACGATCACACAGCGCGACGCCAAGTATGTGAAGCTTTAGTCCACTGGCAACTAGCACTCGCGCTTCACCGTCATGCTGGCATGCACGGCAGATGGTACAAAGCTTCTGCACTTCATCATTTTCAAACGCAGGACAATGCCAAAGGAAGTGTCCCCGCCCGGTGTTGTCGTTCGCGTTAACAAAAAGAAATACATGGACGAGGCCATGATGCTCGAATGGATAAGAGTGGTGTGGAACCGTCAGCCAGGTGCACTGCTGCGTTTTCGCAGCATGCTCGTGTTGGATGCGCTTCGTGGCCACTTAACCGACGCAGTGAAACGCGCACTCGGCGACAGGAAAACGGACCTCGCCGTGATACCAGGTAGTATGACGTCCACCCTCCAGCTGCTTGACGTTGTGCTAAACAAGCCGTTCAATAACCCAGTGCGCACTGGCTGGAATATTAAGAGTGGATGCCCGGCGACAACCCCAAGACACCGACGAGCCGCCTACAGAGGCCTCCACTTGCGACTGTTTGTGACTGGGTGCTTTCCGCATGGCGTTCCTTGCCGGATCCCATGGTAAAAAATGCTTTCAAGAAACGTTGCATCAGCAACTCGCTGAACGGCACTAAAGACGCACTGTGGGAGGCGGCGAGCGACAAACTCTCGTCTTCAGAAGACAGTGGGACAGTGGTGCTTCATCGGACGAATAGGAGCAGTTTCGATGATGGTTGAGCTCCGACGATCGGGGTGCGGTGTGCCCAATTAGCAAATAAATGTGGTTCGGCAGTTTTGAGCTGTTTTTCTTTTTTTTTTCTTTTTTGGTAACCTGAACTTGGGGAGCTGACCTATATTACCACTCGACCTATAGTCCGGTTTATACGGTAGGTAGGCTATGAAACAGGTCTGATTGTACAATCAGCTGTTGGGTATGCATGCGGAGGTGCACTGGTTCCTCTTTCTTTGAAAGGATATCGCGTTCTATTACCCTTCAGCACGAAAATCATGCAGCGAGACTTCATTTCTATAAGTGATAATGCGGCACAGGTGTGTAGCAGTAAGCAGGCAATCTCATCAGAGAAAACATCAGAAGTTCACAGTGCAGTGGCTCCTTATTGTTATAACCGATATACTGTTGAAAGTGGTATCGTTATAAGTGGATTCCACAGTATGTTATCGATGCCATGTCAATATAAAATGCCAAAAACTCAAGTGCATCCAGCGAATGTATACAAGGGAATGAGTAGGCATGGGCTCAATTGTCACAAGAACAGTTGTCACAGTGGTGTGCTCCACCATGCACCTGCACGCAAGCCAAGGAGAAAAAAGTGCATCATGCAACCTCACCACCAGGCAGCACAAGCGCCTCCTCCTGCACTGCAGCTTAATAACTACACTGCCCTTGGCTTGTACCGAGTCCCATGCAGCCACAATGTGGTGAAAACAAGCTGTCAATCCCATAGTGACCCACAAGGTTGACACAATATCGTGGCTTTCACTCACAAGTTAACATCATGCTTCATGAGGCGCATACGGGCATCTCTGGGCCAGCACTTCTTGTTGTTGTACCCAACAATGTTCTCATTGTTTGGGTCAGGGTGCTCTGTCAGGTAGCGCTGAATCAGGTCTCTAGCTTCCTCAGCAGTAAACCTGTAAAGAACAAATGTTAAAGGACAACATCAATTAAAGCTTGTCAATGCATTAACACCAAGAGTCAAGCTGAAGTCATGGCCAAAGCAGGCTGGAGGAGGAAAATACAGTTAAACCATGATATAGTACAATCTCGATAATACACATTCGAAGGGAGCACGCAAAATGTTCGTAACATTTCGAATTCATATTAACCCGAAATCAGTTAAAGCTGACCTTGAATATGAACAGAAACTTTTTTGGAGTCAACTAATACTTGCTCGAAAATAGTCCATGATCTTCTTTTGAACTTTCCTACCTTCACCACCTCTCAATAAACGGCCGCGGTTTCCTCACACATGCTGCTGGTGCTATCACACTAGGGAAGGAAAGCGACAAAACTTAATGAAAATTAACTCGCTTCGCTGCTTATGCGGCCTGAAAAACACACGGCGAAGTCGACTAAAAAAAGCCAGTCATACGGTAAAATTGAAGTGAGAGCGCCAGGGCGACCGAGAAATCACGCCCGCGCCCGCCGAAAATTGTTCACATTCTTCCTGCCTACCGCCGCTGCCTTCGCAGCTTGAAAATTCATTCCAGTTTGCCCGTTTCCTCAGCATTAAAATTCCTACTGAGTTCTAGTTATGCATGCAAAGCACTCAAAATAAACAGTTTACACCGGTACAAACATTGTTTCGGGGGATATGCAAGCAGAAACGACACGAGTGGACGCACCGGCAGCGACGGCGACAAATTCAGCTGTCAGTACAAAAGCGAGGAAGAACGTTAGGGCTTGCCAACTCGCTGCTGCTGCATCTTCTTCTACTTCCCGTGTTCACAGCAATCACAATCTACAACCAGGCTCTCGCACGTGTCCTTGTCAAGGCCGCGAGCTTTGTCGTGTTGCGCGGGTAGTCCACGATTGCGCCGACGTGAGCCACCGCCGACGCCTTTACCACCATGTTGAATTAGCAGCTTGTTGTTCACATCACGTGGTTTGAGACCTAGCGCCACCGGTGTAGCCCAAGCCATGAAGCAAATAGGCAATTTCCTATCGCATGGCAGAAAAATTTATCTCTGGCGGATTTTTTCGCGTCAGCTTTGTGGCGTGGTTTTCCACTTAGGCGGCGAAGCGGGGGAACACCCTTCGAGGCAAGGTATGAATGCGTCTTCCGCCAGAGATAAGCCGTGTTGCGCCGTTCGCACGCAGCGGTTGATTGCACGTCTGTATCATACGCTGTGGCTGCAGAACCTATTCATATACTACCGAATCACGGCGTACTTTGTATAACGTAGTCCATACGAAGGAACTTTGAAATTCGTATCATCGCAAAATTTGCATCTACCGTAACCATATTGAGATTCTACTGCATACGACATTGCAGAGACAACACAAAATTGTTGTAAAATCCAGGCCTTCACTAAACTGCCAAGACATGTTGTCGCCAAGTATGGCAGCCAAGCCCCGGCAAAGTGCATGAGGAAGAAGTAATCATGCGCTCTGCAAGGCAGTGGCCCTCTCTTGCATGGCGCAGGAGTCAAGAGGTGTGCGTAAAAATTCGTACTTTCAAATATTTTTCTAATATAATTTATGCAAGGAGTCTTGCACTACAGCAACACAAATTACCAGGTGACTATGACATACCACCTCCAGATGAATAAACTGAATGCCTGAACAAGACTATAGCAGACATGCCTTCTCTATACGTCGAACTTTAACACAATATGTGGGACAGAAATAATATGCTCCATCATGTAATATTTGCGTACAACACAGCGATCCAAGAAACTATGCAGTTGACTCCAAGTTACTCCACAATTGACAGCCAAGTACGACGCTCGATGCCATGATCCCACATGTAGGATATGATGAATTCAATGCTGCCAACGGCCGATGGTATCTGTAACGTGCGGAGGAGGCCCGCCAGCTTGCTCGAGTGCGTACGATAGACTAGCACCTCATGGATGCCTGACGCAACAACTTTCATTGCCGAGACACCGATATCATCCAGGCATCTTGTGTCACTTTGAACCTTAAAGGGCCAGTGGTCCAAAATTTTACAGGTGAAGTAACTGCGCACTTGTACAATGTGAGCATGTTGTCGCATGTCATGAGTAAGAAGATGGCATAGAGGATGAAGAGGACGAAGCACGTGGAAGAGGCACAAATTAAAATTACGTTTAAAAAAATAATCTCAAAATTATTTTACCTCTACTAAGTATTAATTATAAATCCAGTATGTATTTGCCCGACCTATAGCCGATCCCCCAGAGTCGGTAGGTGCCAATGATCCAAGAAGAATCATCATCATCATTGTGCATGGAGGAGTAAACGATCGACACGCGTTACACAAGCCGTCAACGAAGGTGGCAATGCGATGAGCTGGGATTGTTTGCATGGCTAAGGGAGAAAAAGGTTGCATCAGTAGCTACACTCTGTCAACGCGCGCAGCGGGAGTTTGGTTCCAAAGGCCGCCACGCTGGCATTCCGTGGCTAGCCGTTGACCTCAATGCTCAGGTGAGGCTTCAAGGAGATGCTGCAGCATCTTCTGGCAATTCTGGATGCCCCCCCTGCAGTCCCCCTTCTAATATCAGCCAGCAGCGATCCCCAGCATGTCACCAATTCAAGCCAAGATCGTGCTAGGCCTGATCAACGAGGACGTACTGCCATGCCACCAACGATGACTGGGACTAGGCCATCAACAGTGTGACCGAGTCACGGTCACACATCGAAGCGACAATTGGACAGCCTCGTCAGCTACCTCAGCCATGGACCCAACACAACGAATTTTGGAATTGCGGCAATGAACGAAACAAAGTAAGAGTGTTCCATTCGAACTACAATTCGACTGTGAGGCCTAAGTTAAGGGCCTCACAGTTGTTCTCACTGTCCTAAGTTGAAGGTCTATAACCCTCTAACTGAGGGCTGTAGTTGTGGTAGTTAGATGTAACAAATTTGATTATTTCAGGTCAGTTTGCTTTTGAAGGTTTCTTTGTAGTTTCTAGGTTTTTGCACTGGTTGTTTGTTTTACGAAGTATCAAGCTTCCTTCTAGCGTTTTCCTGGGTTGTTATTAAACCATGAGCTTCATCGATTTTCTAAGTCCCAGATCACTCGCGGACGGCCCGCTGACACCTCACCTCACAGGCGGCTATGTCACGTGCACGTGATCTAAAAGTCCAGAGCCAGCCCGAGCGGCCTCGGGCCATCTGCGCACGTGATGCTGACTGCATCCTCTGTGGCATCTGCTATGCCAGGCTATGTGGTCTCCTCCCTCCATAGCTGTGACAGAGGCCACAACGCTGACCCAATTCCAATGTAAACAGAAGTTAGTGAATTATACCTATTTCTGTTGTGATGCAACTTACTGTAAGTGAACTACTCGAGCGCGTGCGCATCGTGGACCGGCGCAGTCGTTCCACCGCTGTTTCTCCTAGCGAGTATAACGCGTGTTTGCCCGACTTTCGGGAATACTGCGCATGCTCGACGTGGCTCAGAACACCGATGACAAGAACTGGGAGCGCAAACAATGCGAAATCCATAAACATGCGAGAAGCGGACAGAAAAGCAAAGAGAGAGCAAGAGCGCATAGAAAATTTCCCGTGTCTAACTTAAGATGGTGGCACAGGCATGCGCACCGCGCTGCCATCTGCCAGCTGCCCGAAAGAAATTGTTCGGATGGTCCCGGGCCGTCCGCAGGCTGCCAAACACGTGAAAAACCAACATGCGTATGAGTAATCTCGGACCAGTGGGCGGAGCTACCAGTTGGTCCCCGAGAAAAACGAATGCGGCGCAGCCGTCCGGGGCTGTCCGGTACGTGTAAATTGACGAAGCTCCATGTTTGCTGTGCCACCCAGCATCCTCTCAATCCATCACCAATAACACATGCCTTCGAGATCCATGACAGTGGTCAAGTCTATGGATGCCTAAATCTGAATTTTTGGCTGCCACTATGCAGTGGTACCACAGGGGAGAGAAGGGCTAATGAAAGAAAGCACCATCACGGAAATTCGCAGACTACCTGTCAGAGCACCTCAATTACACAAAAACTATGTTGAATAGCAACAAAACTATTGTGCAGAGCAGTGCCGATTGTTAGTTCACAGACATGCACTAAATTTCAAGACATCGCAATCAAAGCACAAACCACCGTTGATTGTTACACGCACCACCTATGGCCTCTTTTTCAGTATCAATATGTATTCCTTCTCTTTAAGTGCAGACATCACAAAGAGTTTTGTTGATTTCATACCAAACCGCAACTTTGATCGCTTGTGCCCGCCTACGGAAAAGCAACCGATGCCTATTAGGCCTAGCATGCCATTCGGCACGTTGTCGTGGGAAGTTTGTCTAGGACAACATGAAGATTTGGCGTCGAAAAGATTGCACTCAAGTATCGAATCAAGAGCAGTGAGCATGATACGAAGTTTGCGTTCGCCGCTGGGGGATCGACAATGACAAAAGGCTGCCAAGCTTTTGTAAGTCCGCGAAGTGGCAGCAGAAGCGAAAGCTCGAGGCGTAAAATCATAGAACTTTAAATTTACGGGCGACGTCAATGCAACAACAACTGTAAAAAATAACGTGACAACAACAATGCTGGTGAAGTCGTCGAGCCAGACAGTGCCGCAGTGTCGACCGGCGGCGGTGTTGTGGTGCACAAACATTATGTAGGGACATGGGTTATCATGTTTTTGTTAAAGCTTGGGTAGCGGATTTCTTCTCTTTTTTCGAAATATGGTTTGAATTAAGGTTGGAGAGATGTGAGAGTGCTAACACACCCTGTAAAGTTGTTTGCACTGCGTGGCGCACGTGTCTCGCCCAAAAGCCACATTTCAAGTTACAACCACCGGGCGGTAGGTGATTTCACGAGGTAGGTGTGTTCACGAGCGGTGATCACCACTATCATCATCATGATTGGTAGAGTGGTAGCGCCGGCGGTGACCCCTGGCGGAAGGCAAGCCTTGTTGGCGGGCGAGCGAGTTGAGCGAGTGTCTTCGGCTGGTGGCGTTTGGCGCAAACGGTTGTCTCTCGCAGTAGGTCTGCAGTGGATGGCCCGCGGTAGGCCCACGTAGTGAGTCAGGGGTTAGCGACACCGCCTTGTTTGTCATGTTGTGATTGAGTGTTGTTTAATATAGTGTAAGGATGTCTAAGTGTGTTAACTATAATTGATGTATAACAATTCAGTGGACGATATCGTAGTTCTAAATTAGCTAAATAAACGTGTATTGTTTGGTTTGTACCGACCGCTTCTGCTGTGTCCGTTCACTCCAAGAGTGTGGCACTTGCCAATTCGAGACCCCACACGCTGTAACTAAACTTTTTAAACATGTTGAATGTAGAACCAGCATTTCCATGACTGATTGCTCTGGAATTGGCCCTAGACTACGTAACAGAGAAAATGTAAAAGAAATTTGAGAAATGTAAAGAACATGAAATCACTAGTTTTCATGGTAATGTAAATGTAGAACTTGTGTGATGTTGCAGACATACCTGAAGAATACGTGTATGCGGTCAATGTAGCGCGAGTAGAGGCGCACAGGATGTGCCGCCTCTGTAGCAACGTCCTGGAATGAGAGGAAGTCATTGGGCACTTGCGGGGGTCCCGCCATCTCGGACGCTCGCTGAAGCCCCAGCACGAGCAGGTCCAGCACCAGGCCGTAGTACTGGACGATGAAGGAGGAGAACTGCAGGCCCCGTATGATGCCATACGAGTTCGTGTGATTCATGTCCTTGTAGTTGATGATGACGTTGTTCTTGGCTGTCATGTAGTCAGCAATGTTGTGGTCCACGATGAGGCGCAGAAGCCGATTGAGAAGTGTCAGGTCCATCTTCTCATACATTTTCTCAAATCGAGACTCGAGCATGACGTTGCACTCGCCCTCGGCAGTGTCCCACACGTCCTGCAGGTTGTTGATGCCCTGACACCACTTGTACACGAGCAGAGGTGGAGGCTCTGAATCGGCAGGCTTGATCCAGGGAGGAAAGAGACGCCGCTTGTCTGCCTCGTACCACAGATACTGGTCCAGGTAGGCATCTGTGATCTTCTCCAGGGGTTCCACATCATACACGGGAATCAGGTGGCTGTACAGGTCCATAAACTCTATGCCCACCTGGAATGGTGTTAAATCAAGTGAGTGCCTTGCATCATCCTCAGCCTGCAGGTCTCTCGCAATCAGCTCCAATTAGGTGGTTCATTGCACAGCCACTATGGCAGGTCAACACAAGGCAAACTGAATATAGAAAGTACAGAAATTCTATTAGGAAATTACACTCACCTCCTTGAAAGCTCGTTGTGTGAGCAGGTGACGCTTAATGCGTGATAGTGCTTCGTGGGGGTTGTCGTAAGCCTGCTCAATGAGCCCCAACTCCTCTCGCTGCGACTGATTCAGCCGGCTCTTCACACTGCAAAACAAAAAGAAAACACCATCCAGATCCTGTGAGAGGGCAAACAAAAGCCTCTTCAACTAATACGTATTTACTCAATTTGCTCCTGGAAATCCTACCGCAACCACCAAAGCCATTTCAGTGCAGCTCCTGTAGCAGCTAAAACCACCTTAGAGAAAACTTAAAAAGCGCAGACAACAAGAACAAAACAGATAGGACAAGAAACACCACTTCTGCTGTATCTCTTTCGTCTTTGTCGTTTGTGCTTTTTAAGTTTTCACTCATAATAGACCAACTCACCCAAACCAAGGCATTGTTACATCTAAAACCTCACTTCAGAGCAACATAACAACCACCTAGAGCAGTTGACAGCTACACATTATGAAACACAGATACTTAAATCACCAAATGAATACAGATGCACCACATGCTTAAAAAAATTTATCACTGCACATATGTATGCATGTTTACTTGGAATACTCCAAAAGATAAAAGTAACCTGTTGCTCGTTTTTGTGCCCACAGTCCTAGGTTTTGTGAACACATGTGCTTCTGTGAGGCAGTAATTGCCTAATTACCTCTTAGCAAGCGAAGCAGGTGTTACTTCTTTAGCATGCCTACCATGTTCCTCAAAGCGATTTTAACAGCACCACCCACCCCACCCTGTCTCACCAATGAAGCTAACATCCCAGTCAAAGGACACATGTTTATTTTTGATAATGCAACAATGCTAGCATAGGAACAAAAATGCAACCTGAGAAAATATGTGCAGACATGCTATATCTATCACAATCATTCTGCGTGCAATTGTGGCCCCCACGTTCCCAGCCGTCTCTTACATAGGTAGGATGCATTTTCTCATTAGTTGCCATTTTTTTACTGCCAACATTTCATTATAGCTATTGTTGAGTCAAGCCCAAGATAAAAACAGCCCCACCAATACCGTTCAGCATTGCCGAAGCTGCCGCGTGTAAGCAAGTTGTACGCTTCCTGATATAATTGATTGGCAATCTGCAAGGTTGAGACATTTGCCTTTGTTTGGCATCTGCTACTGCACATCAATAAGTATTACAGTGCAACTTCGATTATACGTCCCCCGGTTTCGCGACGACTCACATTTTACGATGAATCTGTCTCTGTAAAATCCCCATAAAAATTATGTACTAGAAACCTTGGTTATACTACGCTTTTTTACGCCAACCCCGCAACTTACGACGACTTTCAGACTCCGTCAGAAAGAGAAAAACACATTTGCTCAAATCAAGCGTTGGCAAAATATTCGCCAGTGCAAAAAATATGAACTTGCTTTCCCCGAGGTTGAAGATTAAAAAAGTAGAGAAAGAGACAAAATGTCTTAGAATGAAAAATTTACCGTCTTTAACGGAATCTAGGCAGTCCTTTTTTTTTTTTTTCAAATTTCTTTTTATCGAACTCCAGGGTCGGCTTAAATTCAAAGATTTTCAAAACGTGCCATTTTTTATTAAAAGAAGTGGTGCACAACTAGCGCCAACTAGACGGTATTGTAGCGGTTGTAGCTGAGCCAACACCTGGCTAAAGTACACACGTGAGGCCGCCATTTTCATCTTTGTGACGAGTGTTGAAGCAGGCCGTTTGTCATTTCGAGCCGCGCTTCAAGTGGTCTATGTGTGGCGTAGCTCAATGAGGCGAAACAGGCAGTGTCATTACAGTTCCGCTATAAAACAAAAGTAGTATATGCCGCGGAGTTGTTGGCCAATGTTTAAGCCGAGCGGGACTTTTGGAGCACACAAAAAAAATGTGCACCGCTGGAGGGGCTCCCAGGAACTTGTTCCAGGAACATCCCAGGAACTTTTTTCGTTAGCTCCTTCAAAAAGTGCAGCATTTCCAATGCGCTTGATGGCATCAAGGATTGTGCACTGTTTGAAGACAGCGACAAAGTCAGCGACAAGGGAAGCAGCGACGACGACTCGAATGAGCGCGGAATGTTTATGGTGCAAATTACTAGAACCAACCAGCAAGAAAAAAAAAGACAAAAAACACAAGACTAGCCGCTGTATGTTTGTCAAGTTATTTGCGTCATGAACCAACTGATTTTTCATCTTGATGTCCAAAAAAACCTTTTCTCTTTTTGAACGCTATCATTGCTGTTTTGTTCAACCTACATTCGAGGTGAGCTGTTTCCCCCCCCCCCCCCCAGCTTTGGACATTAGGGGGTTGGCCTAGAATCAGGGTCGGCCTAGATTTGAGTAAATACGGTATTCCCTTCAAAGTTCATGCGCTTCTACATGCACCTCGATCGCGCACGTACGTATCTGGGGTCGTCACCTTGTCAAGCTCTATTCATACAGTGTTGCTTCAGCTGGCCGAAAACTTGACATTTTCACGTTTTCGGTCCGTCAAAGCTTTTCCTGGCCAACACACAGAGCACTTGCAGTCACAGGCTTGCACATGCATAAGGGCGCGAAGCAGATGTCACCGTGGAAAATTACTTTCACTGTTGACATCAACGTTCATAATAACAGTGGGTCATGTGTTTCACAAACCAACAAATTACAATGTGCACAGCTCAGTGCCATGAGTAAAAGGGCGCGAGGCTTGTGCCGGGCGCTTGAGTGCTGGAATGCAGCGTCAGTGCACGAAACCCAACTGTGCTCCAACCTATCATTGCAACGCAAGGCCATGTAACGTGCGCGTGTTTACTCTGCTTGTAAGAAAAACCCTTCGTTAAACATGGGAGATAAACTTAAGCAAAAAACTGTTCATATGAAAACAGCACCTGTGCATACACAAGCGCCCTAAGGAACTGTGGAAATTCTTTAAAACAAACAGTAAGGACGTCTTATCGATTCCGGCCCTGGATGAACACTCCACCACTATGCATAATGATGTCAAAACGGCTGGGTGCTTTATCTCATTTTTTTAGTTCTGTGTATACACCTACGATTAAAATGACTGACACTTCCGCACAGTCTTTTGATTTGATTTGATATGTGGGGTTTAACATCCCAAAACCACAATATGATTATGAGAGACGCCATAGTGGAGGGCTCCGGACATTTTGACCACCTGGGGTTCTTTAATATGTACCCAAATCTGAGCACATGGGCCTACAGCATTTCTGCCTCCATCAGAAATGCAGCCGCCGGAGCCGAGATTCTATCTTGCGACCTCTGGGTAAGCAGCCTAGTGCCTTAGCCAAAGACCACCGTGGCGGGTTCGTTTAGCCATTGAGTACCTTAGCCACTAGACCACTGCGGCGGGGCGCACAGTCCTTTCAGGTGGCGGCAGAACAAATGAGCAATATTGTGATTAGCCAGCATGGAATAGAGGCTTTTATCAAATCCATGAATTCCTCTAAAGCTACAGGGCCTCATGGTTTGTCACCTGCATTGCTTTCTTTGTGCCCGCGTGAAGTATCTAAATATCTGTGCATCATTGTCACTAAGTCCTTAGAAGAATCTTCATTACCTGATGACTGAAAACTTGCCAACAAAGTGCTTGTTCACAAAAGTAAATTGCGAAGTAGTGTTTTAAATTATAGGCCAATCTCACTCACAAGTGTTGCACACAAAATACTTGAACATGTTCTGTTTACCAGAATTATGACTCATATGAACGCGTATTATTTATTTGATCCTCACAGCACAGCTTTCGTAGTAGTCTTTCCTGTACAACACAGTTACTTGAATTGAGACACGACTTATCCTCTGCTTTAAATAAGGGTTTCTCTGTTGATTGCTTGTTCCAAGATTTTAAAGCCTTTGACGTTGTACCCCACTCTTTACTGATTGGAAAAACTAACAATGTATAAAATAAAGTGAATGATACGGTTGTGAACTGGATAAGCGAGTATTTATATTTGAGACGGCAAAAGGTTGTTATCAATGGTGAGTCATCCCGGGAAGTTGATGTGTCTTCTGGAGTGCCTCAAGGGTCAGTATTGGGTCTGGTATTGTTCCTCATCTACATAAATGACATTTGTTCCGGTACTTCATCACATATCAAATTATTTGCCGACGACTGTGTTTTGTACAGACTTACACATAGCTCCCATGATTGCACTACTCTTCAAAATGATCTCAAAACAGCTGAATGGTGTGGAAAGTTGCGTATGTTCATTAATGAAAAAAAAAAAACAGTGCACATGTGTTTCACTAGGAAAAAGGCACCCCATGACTTATTTTATAGTGTAAATTCAACCGGGCTGCTAACAGTTCGCGAACCCAAGCATTTCAGTGTATACAGTTAAACCTGCATATAACGAATTCTTCGATATAATGAAGTTTTTTCCCCGATGTCGCTCCATAGAAGCACAAGTATTTGCGATCTCTATGTAACAAAGTAACAGTGGGAGACAACCTTGACATAAAGAATTTTCCCCACGGACAATCGAGGAATTTCGCTCCACATTTCCGCATTTTGGTACGAGCATGCATCTTCCGCGGCTGCCCCGCCGCCTCCGAAGCCCGAAGCGGCGGCGGCGGCGGGCATGTGAGCCGCGTCCGGTGGGCCTGCACCCCACGAGCCGACTTTGTTGCCGTTCTCGCCGCCGCGCTCGCATGCACGGGTGTGCCCCGTCCCCCCCAACTCCAAAGCAACATAAAAAAAAAAGAAATACTCTTGCGCTTGGCAGTGCCACGCTTTTAGTTAGCGTCATATATATGGGGCAGCGCTGCATATGGAGGATGCTTTACTGATTAGTTTCCCGCGGTATCTGTGTCCATGTCGCTTGCTCTTCGTTTGCGACGTCGTGCGTGCGTGCATAGTTTCACTACGTGTCCATGGTGTGGCGATAGCAATTATGTATACGGACAGTCTCGGCTGGTTTTTTGCCTCCACCGCGGTCATTCGTTCGTTCGTTCGTTCGTTCGTGCGTGCGTGCGTGCGTGTGTGTGTGTGTGTGTGTGTATGAGATTTAACAGACAATAACGCCAAGGAAGGTATAGGGAAAGTTAATAGGCCAATTGTAATGTAAACCATAAAAAAGAAAAGTGGGTGAAAAGATAACTTGCCGTGGGCAGGATCCGAACCTGCGACCTTCGAATAATGCGTTCGATGCTTTACCACTGAGCTACCACGACAGCTATCCCCCCAGCCACTTTGTTGGGTATCTATGCCAATTGAAACGTGGGGGTCTCAGTCAGCGCCACTAGTAGCCATGGCGGCGAGTGTGGCACACTCTTTATGAGCCTGTTTGGCGTCACGTAGCACGTGAACTTATTACGAACTGGCAGCTGACCAATGGTCCCCCGTATACAACCTAAAGGCACCAAGTCTGCCAGTATGAGACCCTCGTTACTGATTAAGGGAAACAAGTGTATACTTAAGGGCTCGTTTTTTGTGCTTTTACACAATATTAATGAAATCTAACAGACAATAACGCCAAGGAAGGTATAGGGGAAGTTAATAGGCCAATTGTAATGTAAACCATAAGAAAGAAAAGTGGGTGAAAAGATAACTTGCCGTGGGCAAGATTCGAACCTGCGACCTTCGAATAACGCGTTCAATGCTCTACCACTGAGCTACCACGACAGCTATCCCCCCAGCCACTTTGTTGGGTATCTATGCCAATTGAAACGTGGGGGTGTCAGTCAGCGCCACTAGTAGCCATGGCGGCAAGTGTGGCACACTCTTTATGAGCCTGTTTGGCGTCACGTAGCACGTGAACTTATTACTAAATGGCAGCTGACCAATAGTCTCCCGTACACAACCTAAAGGCACCAAGTCTGCCAGTATGAGACCCTCGTTACTGATTAAGGGAAACAAGTGTATACTTAAGGGCTCGTTTTTCGTGCTTTTACACAATATTAATGAGATCTAACAGACAATAACGCCAAGGAAGGTATAGGGGAAGTTAATAGGCCAATTGTAATGTAAACCATAAGAAAGAAAAGTGGGTGAAAAGATAACTTGCCGTGGGCAGGATTCGAACCTGCGACCTTCGAATAACGCGTTCAATGCTCTACCACGGAGCTACCACGACAGCTATCCCCCCAGCCACTTTGTTGGGTATCTATGTCAATTGAAACGTGGGGGTGTCAGTCAGCGCCACTAGTAGCCATGGCGGCGAGTGTGGCACACTCTTTATGAGCCTGTTTGGCGTCACGTAGCACGTGAACTTATTACTAACTGGCAGCTGACCAATAGTCCCCCGTATACAACCTAAAGGCACCAAGTCTGCCAGTATGAGACCCTCGTTACTGATTAAGGGAAACAAGTGAATACTTAAGGGCTCGTTTTTCGTGCTTTTACACAATATTAATGAGATCTAACAGACAATAACGCCAAGGAAGGTATAGGGGAAGTTAATAGGCCAATTGTAATGTAAACCATAAGAAAGAAAAGTGGGTGAAAAGATAACTTGCCGTGGGCAGGATTCGAACCTGCGACCTTCGAATAACGCGTTCAATGCTCTACCACTGAGCTACCACGACAGCTATCCCCCCAGCCTCTTTGTTGGGTATCTATGTCAATTGAAACGTGGGGGTGTGCCATGGCGGCGAGTGTGGCACACTCTTTATGAGCCTGTTTGGCGTCACGTAGCACGTGAACTTATTACTAACTGGCAGCTCACCAATAGTCCCCTGTATACAACCTAAAGAAGGAAGAGAAGTGGCCGCGCTTATCTCTCACCCTGCGGATCGAGGGGGGGGGGGTAGACTGTTATCTTTTGGTGGGGACAATTGCATGCCTTCGACTTTTACTCGAATGATTGCACTACTTGCTGGATCCACAAAGGTCACTTCGGTCTCTGCACGGGCCCCTATGAGAAAAAGAGCGCGTTTTTCATACACAGCACGGCAGTACGGGATAACAACTGGAACACTTGTTAGTTTGTACTCATCTTTACATGTGATTACATATCGTGCATTGTTTTTGTTTAAACAGCGCGTTACAAGTCGAGCGGTAAATGTTGTTAATTCGCTTTCATCCTGTGTGTATGGTTTTCGTGCGTCATTTGTGCATGAGCAGTGCGCTGCACTTTTCGATCTGCTTGCTGTTCTCAGCGTGGAATTCCAAGTTTTTGCTTTCGCATTCATCGCTTCGCCCTTGCGGCGAAACTGACTTTTTTGTTTTACGTATTTACTGCCTTTATTCTACTGTTGCTAGCACTCGGAGCTCGTACTTTGCTATCGCGTCACCACGACCGCGGTTTCATGTACTGTTAAAGACAGCGTATGCGCCTGTCGCACGCGTACTTCTAAAGCTTCGAGTACGCTGCTTTCAGCCTACGTTTGACAGTTTCCGTAATAAGGTTCATATCACCTGCCGCGATTAGAATGTGTTCGGAACATTCGAATTTAGGCCCAATGGACATAGCAGAATTCTGCTGAGGAATTACAAGAATTCGGTCCACCGCAGCGCCCTTGGCATAAACAAAGTGGAATAAACGCGGTTTCATTCATTCATTCACGAATTCGTATCTGCCGCGCTTTCGCATCTCTGTGAGATTCTACTGTACGTTTAGATTAGCGCCTCTTAAACCCATATATAACAAAATAGGCTAGGTTCCAAAAGACTGGAGCGGATTGATATGCTTTTTCGTCAATGCGGCCAGATCACACACAGAAATTTCGATTTCTGGGAGATTTTCATGACAACTGTACAAATGGAAGAAACGGTCGAAATCCGGGAGTCTCCCGGGCAATCTGGGAGACTTGGCAGGTATGAAATCACTATTCGCTTCGAACTATTTTTAAACCAAAAATCTACTACTCCTCCAAGCCTAATAAACATAGAATAAGAATATTCCAAACATTTGGTTGATGGTCCATGGCTGCTCTGTCGACTGCAATCATGGTAATGACAATAATAGAGTGTACTTCAGAGCTGAAGCAGAAAACGTCAGAGACACTGCCCTCAAATCCCCATGTCAAGTGTAGCTCACCTGTAGGCTTCCTTGAGCCTCTCTAGGGCCAAAATGAGCAGCTTGGTGTCATGCTTGTATGACAGGGGCGGGAACGGGATGGGCGAGAAGCGACGGCTCTCCAGCCAGTGCACTGTCGTCGTGTATATGGCCACAGCCTCCTCGGCACTGATGTAAGGCCCATCCTGTTATACACATATGCCGTCAATCAGCTGTTGCCACAAACATTAGTTGCAGCAATGAGGCTAACTAGGGAATCCTATAGATATGACTAGACCTCTGGTCGTGCTAAACATATGCATCATTTATTGGCATAAAACTGCTGCCACTTCAGACATACCGTTTGCCAGCACCTCAATACCCACTTCAGGCATAATTCCTCATCCTCATCAGCCATTGCAGGAACGGAACAATTGGCACAAAGTTCCTCGCAATAGTTTGGCGGATACCACGCTTCTCAGAAGAATGGCGAAAAATATCATAGCGAATGCTGGCCTACTACCCTAAAATTTTTATTATTAATGCCGTAATGAGCGTCAAGCTAGTGTGCCTGCAGCAGTTACTCATACAGTGTTTAGAAAAGGCTCTGAAAGGCCACTCTTCTAGCTTTCGCTGTGACTGTGCTGCGCCTTCTGCGCAAGCCTGGCTTTTTCTGCCTGTTCTGATCGTGCCAATCATTTCACGTAGAACGCAGAAGTGCTTGGGGGCGCAGAAGTGCTTGGGAAAACGGTCCCAGTTTTCTTATAGCAGCGAGCTAGAATTTTGCCATATATATAATTCTAGTAGCCTATCACAAGGAAACAGTAAAAATTTAATGGCGCAACCCAAACTTCAAAATCAACCACATGTGCGTTTGAGAGCAGATGTAGAGAACGAGGGAAGCAGTTGGTGTGACAGGCCCTCGCACACTTCGGATTCAGAAAGTTGTTCGTGCTGTGACGTGAGCGTGCATTCTCATAGTGCAAGAGATGGGGAGATAGCGGGAGGCAGACGCTCCAGCAGTTCCAGTGACCCATCAACAGGTTTGAGTGTTCCGGTCCAGTATTCTAGGAACCCTAGTTCGAGGGAAGTCCTCTAAAGAAGAGACTTTGCACTTGCAGCCAGCTTGGCTGCGGTCGCCTGCTCCTCTAGGGGCATGCCCGGCGTGCCTGTCGAAAGCATTCAAAGGCTTAAAGTCTTTTGGTGCATATGCAGACAAGCTGGCTCTGACAGGTTAGGGAGCACGAAATATGCAAGCAAGAACAGTAATACCTCGTTAACTCGAACTTACATATCTCGAAAAATCAGCCAAGTTGAAATTTCCCACGGCACCGAACCTTCTCTGTTATGTCCCATGTATCTTTTTCTCCTTTATCTCGAAGTATTTCTGGATCGGATTGCGGATATCTCTAAATATTTAGTAGGAGTGGAATGAACATTCCGCCACCGGGCCATTACACAAGATTCGCGATTCTGCTACGCCTGAAATCCGTCAAATTTTTACTTTTTATTTTATATTTAGCCGCACCTGCCGCTACGTCGATATTTTTCACGAAAGTGAAGCCTGAGCCTAGCGGCATATCAACTTTGTCGAGAAACCCTGTGGCACGTCATGTAACTCCCACGCAGCAAGCCTCGCTCTTTGCCCTACGCTTGGTGTAGTCGCACAGCCGCGCTGTTTTTCTCGTTCGTTCGGCAGTGCTCGTTGTTTTTCTGTGGTGTGATTTCCATTCAGTATAATCTGGGCAACGCACCCGGTACAGATTTAACGCCGACTTTGAGGAGCTGTGACTCAGCGTGAGTGCGGCAAGCATGGCGTCGCAAAAGCAGTGCAAGCCGCTAACGCTAGAAAGGAAGGTTGCCCTAATTAAGAAAGTGGAGAAAGGAGGCCGAACGAAATCAACCATCAAGCAGGAGCTTGGCATCCCTTTGTCTATGCTTTCGTCGGTGCTGAAGAACAAGCAGAAAATGCTCGACGAATATCAGCAGAGCTTCTCTAGCCAGCAGAAGCGAGTGTGCCGTTGACTATAGAAATGACGAACGCCGAAATCGTTCAATCGGCCACTAACGAAAGGGGCAGCGGAGACGACGCCGATGACAAACCACCCTGAGAGGTGCCAACATCTGCAGAAACAAGAAATTTGCTGTGTTTGCTTCGAAATAAGGTGGAGTGCAACAGCGAGGAAGATCGTCTGTTGTGATGCGTGGCCCGAGCATGACTGCAAAGCAAACAAGCATTAGGAAGTTTTTCTCCGCTAAATAAAATGGCAGTGCTGCAAAATCCAGCTAGTTAACGTCACTTTTGTGATATCGCTTTTTTCTTTTTTAAACTTTAACAAGAAGAAACATTAGAAAGTGCTGCTGAAGAGTCGGTAAGTAGTAGTGATTTTGCTAAAAAGCACTTGATTTTTCCCGGCGATTTGCACAACTCTGCTAATCTCGAAAATCCGCTTATCTCGAAATTTTCCTTGCTTTTTACAACATCGAGTTAGAGGGCCAGTCAACAGGCTCGGACTTTTTTTTACACCCCCCAAACAAGCTCGGCAATTCGTAGAGTAGACCGCAACGATCACGTTTTCAGAATATTACAGAGCTGTGCACTGTGCACAGCCTCCATTTCAAAAAACAATTCTCGTGCTTCTTTCCTACACTTGACCAATCTCTTTGCACGCGCAGTAACGACAACTCGGCGACGTAACGCAGCATGCAGCTCGTGGATTGGTCTAAACCAGGTCTCAACAAACAGTAGCGAAATCAATGACAGTTCCTGTTCCCACCCACAGCTACGACAGAGTTATTCAATCAAACGAGTTGCGAACTCCCCATAGGCTCCATGCATCGAAATCTGGACAATTCAATCAAACGAGTTGCGAAACTCCCCATAGGCTCCATGCATCGAAGGACACTTCACTGACACAGTCCTTGGGAGTGAGCAGATTGTCGAGCCATTCACTATTAAGCGAATTATTTATGTTTTGTGTTGCTGCTCCAAGATGGCATGGTAGTCTGCTCCCAAAAAATTAAACTCCAGAAAAATCGGGCCAACTTCATGTCCGGGTTTTGGGACGCAGTCTTGCTGCAAATCGTTGTAGACTGCAAATCGAGCGACTGTGCTGCAGAGAAGCACCGGGTCGACACAAAACAACCAGGCATCCCAGCAAGCGGAAGTGCGTTGCCACTGATCGAGTTCGCCAATGACGTCAATCGCTGACGTCTTGTCACATTGCCGAAGTGGGCGTAGTCACAACGACGGGTCCCGCCTTCCCCTTCTTTTGAAGGAGAAGGTTGGCGAAATCGCGCGAAAGTTTGAAACCAGCTGAACGCGATGTTCTAGCACCTGTAACTTCCTTAATGTAGCACGTATTTGCAAAATTCTTGCGGCAGCATGTTCACTAAGTAAAAGTGCACATATTTCTACTTACAACAATTTTTGTACCTTGGAGTTGTTTACTTGCCCTTTAACGAGGTATTACTGTATACATTTTATTTCTTCTAGTAAAGCTGGCAAAATATTAAGGGTGCGCAAATTATGTAAGGGCACAAATCTTCAGAGTAAATACGGTAGTTCAATAATTTTACTACCTGTAATGTATTTTTTTTTCTTTTCATTTTTTGACCAAGTAATACATGCAGGTTCTTTGTGCCTGGGGAATAAAGAAACCCCATCATTTATGAATTAATAGGTAGTTCAGGATCGCCGAGCACCTCATGTTTTCGCATTGTGGTCTCTGCGATTAGTTCCGTGAGGGCATGAGGTCACGTTTGCAATGACAAAATCCAAGCACAAGTCATGCGGAGTTGTACACTTTACAGACTGAACTTCTTGCATAACTTCCACAGCATTACACTTGATGTGTGAAACGGAGTATACAATGCTGAATCATGGCACCACCTGACCTTCTGCAGCACCAGTTTCGTGCATCACACCGAAATTGAACCTACTTCATATGATAGCTTGAGCAAGTAAGAAGACATAAATTATTTCCTGCAGACTTCACAACTTTTAAAACAGTTTTGCCGTCTCAAGAGAGCTCAAATTATTAGACATTGGTTGCACAGTAGACACATATTAAACAGCAGCTGAAGAAACCAGGAAAATATGTACCATTTAACAGGAGTTTGCTTCACTGAGAGATGAAAAGGGGTGCAGAATACAAGCGAAAAACCATTCATATCAGAGGCTGTTCGATTTAAGCAGCAGTTCTGTTAAAGCACTACAGTGTTTAGAAGCAAGACATGCATCAATTCTAAGCATATTAGGCACCTTCAAGTAGTTGTGCTGCCTTTCTTGCTCGGCCTTCAGGTAGAGTCGTGTGAGCCGGCCCAAGTTCTTCTTGCAGACTGTCTTGTCCACAGTGGCTCCTCGACGTATGCGCTCCCGGTTATAGTGGGCTGTGTTGGTCCACCAGTCAGCCTTCATCTTTACGTAGCGCAAAATCATGTTTTCAATGGGAATCGGCAAACCGGGCACCTAGGTAAACAAGACAATCATACTGCTCAACTTTCTTACATGGTACGCTCAAATAAGCCCTTTCTAAAACCACTAGACACAGCTTTCTGGTTAGAGCTACTGCAGATGTTATCTCTACATACATGAAATGTTGGCTGCAAGGAATTAGACTGCCACATAAAAATGTCTATAAGACATCATATGGGCTACTGACATCATTACGCACCTGCCTGCTTCAGTAACACTTACACCAAAAATGCCCACAGAATCAAGTGCTGATATGTGTATTGCCAGCACATGCACACCCAACCCATTAGGTACCAAATTCTTCTTTTATGGGTATCTTGAAAACAGATGCGATCTTTAATTGTATTTGTGTCTGCATAGATCCCACTGAAATTTTTATCATGAACGAGCTTTAGGTTCACGAGATATGGTCCATGACCGTACGGCCACGCTGGGCTCTTAGGCTACAGCAAAAATGAAAAAACGTTAAATGATATTTCAAGCCTTGACACATTGGAAAAAATAAATTTAGGAATTTGTTGAGATCCTAATGGTAAATGATATGAAGCATTGTATGCATATGCCGACGCTGCATTTACTGTACTGTGAAGTCAACTGTGCTGTTGCAGTTCTCTTCATTACACATGCGCCTTTTGCTGTTAGGCACAGGTCCAAGGAAATCGTATGTTTTCCCATTCAGAATATCGCCCCCAAGACACACTTACAGCAAGTCTGAAATTTGTTCGACTGCTAATTCCTTATGTTTTGTTATACCACCTTGGTAGCCTTGAGGAATTTATCTCTGGAGTTAGAGTTCAGTTATGTTGGATCATGTACTGATAATGAGCACCACAAGTTACTAATGGCTGCCTTGCGAATTGAATGTCGCTCACCACCATTGTTTTCGAGAAATTGCAATCCAGTAGGTTTTTTTTTTTCCCCTATTGTTGCAATCTAGTAGGTGCCTACGTTTGCATCCACCTGGTCAGTGTCTCCTGTGAAGCAGTGTATCGTGTAACCACACAAGAGCGAGGAACTTTCATCTTCTTAAGTGCACTTGATGGTAACTTCACGTCGATTCTTTCATCTCCTACACCTGAGCAGGTAATCGGATTGGTTATCCCTCGCCTTTTTCTTCCTATTCTGCTTCATCGTCATCACAATCACATCCACCATTGCAACGGCCTTCAGTAAGCACATGTTTAGCGCCTGCTCTAAGCTGCCTATAAGGCTGTCTACGATTTAGGTGCACAAAACTTCAGGGGGCAACATTTCCGGAGCCCATTACTATAGTGTTCCTCATAACCATATCAAGGTTTTGCGATTTGGAAATTCAAGAGATACTCTTTATTACACTCAACTTTTACATGAGACAACAGGAATTCTCACCTGCGACATCTTCATAGTAAATGTAAATGGCCAATACATATTTATCGTTCTCTTAGAGCATTCTAGCTATATCCCTTATAGTAAACCTGGGCATACAGTTGATTGCCGCACAAGTGCCGTGGAATCACCCTACAGGGAGGGTAAAACGATGTAACGAACTAGAACAAAATGCAGAACCTAAAAGCGTAGCGTGACCATATAGTAACACATAAAATAACACACTTGTTCGCAAGGAAGACATTGCTTAATCTGTTCCAAATTTTTATCCGAGATGCCATAGTACACGTAGTCTTGAGGATCATATGCGCCACGCTATTGAAAAATTAGGTAATACAGTCGACTCCTCTTAAAGGAAACTCGAAGTGGATCCATAAAACTGTTCCATTTATCAGAAATTCTATTTAAGTAAAACTTATTTAGTGAATCAAAACCATTATTCAAATTGCACAAACCTCATGAGTGGGAGAAAAAAGGAGTGAAGGGTGGTTTATTTGGCAAGCTTGAGTTGTTTCTTTACAAGGTACGCACCCATGCCTGACAAACTAGCCAGAAATTCTGGACATACCTCATGCTCAAAATAGCACTGCAAAACTTCAACAGCCTCTTTAGTTAATCGGTCTAGTGGCACCGGTGCACTGGATATTGTCATCACATTCATCGCTGGAAAATTGATCTTCATCTTGCACTTCGGCAATCATTTCCTCGACAGTCTTTTCACGACAAGTACGAACATTTTCATCAATTGATTCGCAGTCCTGCAGCGTCAAAGGGAGCCGATGCCTCAATGTCGGCGTCAGCAGAGCTTTCTTCTTAATCAGGTACTGCTTCATGCACTTGAAAGCCAGCATGATGAAAGCATCTGTGTATTGTTGTTGCCTTCACTTGCTCCCAGGCATGAGCCAAAATGTGGATGGCTGCCAACAAATCTATGCTGTAGCATTTCCCGCTGTCTGCACAAAGCAGCATTCGATGAAGCAATTGTCTGCGGTAATGAACTTTAATGTTCCGAATAACCCCTTGATCCATCGGCTGGATCACTGCCATTGCATTGGCTGGCAAGAACTCCAGAGTGATGGCTTGGGGTCTTTCAACCTGACCATGAGCTGGGCAATCATCCACGATGAAGACAACCTTCCTGCCTTGCCTCGTAAATCTTGAATCTTCCTCCCGTAACCAGTGTTCGAAAATGGCCGTGGTCATCCACCCTCTTCCGTTCGCATGGTACGCAACGGGAAGGTGTCGAACGCCTTTGAAACATCGTGGGTGCCTTGATTTTCCTATTACCAACAGCTTCAATTTCTCATCTGCTATGTTTACACCCACCAGCACAGTGATGCAATCTTTACTGCGTTTTCCTCCACTACAAGCTTCGCCTTTGAAGGTGAGTGTTTGATGGAAGCGCCTTATAAAGAAGACCCATCTCATCGACGTTGAAGATGTCTCGTGGCTCAAAGCTCATTAAAATTTCTTAATGCCGCCCCTCTTGCCAGTCGATGCAAATGTCACTGTTGACTGCAGCACTCTCACTTGAGATTGCTTTGAAGACTGGGCCATGGTGAGTTTTGAAGTGGCTGAGTCATCTGTCGCTTAGAACGAAGTTCTCAACACCCATTTGCATGGCGATCGGTCGGCTTATGAATCGGTCCACTTATGGGCAAATTGGAACTCCACGCGCACTCGAACCACAGAAAAGGAACTTTTTCTAGTTGTTCATAAGGCTGCGTTCGCATCCATATCCGTTTAGATGTAAAGGTCCTGTTCTTTACTGCGCCTTCAATCTTTTCTCTATCTTTGCAGATCCGCGACAGCGTCGATTTCGAGACGTCATATTTTTTTCGCCACCTCCGTCTTGGGCAGGCCGCTTCAATCGAGCTCCTGAAAAATTCACAGCTTTTTTTCAAGCGAGAGTGCATGGTGCGACGGCTTCCTTTCCATTTGGCTGAAATAACACCGTGATCCACCGCACTTAGCTGCACCAATAGGCCCGACGCACAACTGACTCACCGACTCGGCACCCCCAACCACCACAAGTGAAAATGGCTGATTGATTGATATGTGGGGTTTAACGTCCCAAAACCACCACATGATTATGAGAGACGCCGTAGTGGAGGGCTTCGGAAATTTCGACCACCTGGGGTTCTTTAACGTGCACCCAAATCTGAGCACACGGGCCTACAACATTTCCGCCTCCATCGGAAATGCAGCCGCCGCAGCTGGGATTCGAACCCGCGACCGGCGGGTCAGCAGCCGAGTACCTTAGCCACTAGACCACCGCGGCGGGGAAGTGAAAATGGCTACTGTATTGACTTGTCTCGAGGTGTTCCCATGGTTGTGAGACTACCTTTGGCCTGAACGAGTCTATGCTTAGTTTAGAGTTTGTGCCGTTTAACCGTAGGCGACCAATGAGCCCTGTTTCGATTAACTGATGAATTTTACTGCGCAACAGATAGAAATCCAGCCATATGCGCCCGTTTAGTTCCGTTAATGAGGCGTTTTTGTCTAAGCGAGTTTCGTTTATTGGGAGTCCACTGTAACAAAAACAAAATCTGTTTACCCGAAGGTGCGCTGCATGCCGACATGGTGAAATGCAGAACCACTATTGCGCAGCTGTTTTAGCACCTCCCCAATTAACACAGAAAACTTCAGGCACATGTTATCTGTAAGGGGTACCCTAAGCTATCACAAGGCATATTACTGGTATGCTGGACAGGCTTTCTAATGCTACATAAATTGAGATGTTTCGTCACGAAATGCGAGACCATATGGTAATAATAGTACCTAATGGGTCAAGTGCAGAAAAAGCGTTACACGTCTAAAAAACTCAACCAGATAGAAACTGTCACAATACTATAATTAATATATAGTATAATCTCAAATGATAGGACTACGGTTGATCCAAATTTGCGATGCAATAAATTTCAAGGTTGTTCCAGACAGACTACATCATATGCTGTGCTGTGATTTGGTGTTTTACGAATGGTTTTCCAGCCACCACGGATGATATTGTCACAGGGTCGTGACATGGACGAAGGCAGCAAACTCGATGTTCAGATGAAACTGTTTATTCGGCCGAATTTGTGGCCGGGAAACTGAAGGTCACATGGGCACTAATAACGATAAACAGAACGCCGGCCGGGGATCAACTCACTAGCAGTGAAGCACGTTTACTTTTATACAAGTGCCAACGAATATTCTAGCATTATCACTAGCGGCCACGTAGGTTCCAGAATAATCTTTAATGTTCGCGAAGTGGGCGTGATATTAACAAAACAATCTACCACAGTCTCGAAGATTCTCGAACACCGCAGGCACGGTTTACGCTGACCGTAGTGTAACAGGGCGATAACAAACTTGAGGAAGGAATGTGGTATTGCCCCCCTCTGAAAAAGGCATCGTCTCGATGCTTTAACAAATAATGAAAGTACAATACTAAAGTTAGAGAATTATCATCTTTTATTTTTCCGTATTAGCATGTACTTTTATTAGGGCGTTTCATTGTTTTTGTAGGTGTAATTGAATTTTCACTTTTTGTTATCATGCAACAAATGAACATGCCTTTTTTGTAATAATCCTCGATAGTATCGACGGCATAAATAAACAACATACCAGACTTTAAATAAACAACATACCAGACTTTCTGATTTGTTACACGTGTAAAACTTGACTGGTCCTTGTATTACAGCTAGTTACGATGGGCTTTCGTACTAGAATAAAAATTTCTGATTAGTACCTTTCTCACTTGTGGCCTCCTTTAAGTAGATTTTGTTGAAATATTTTTTTTTACTAGGGTACACACAAATGAGTGAATTGCTTACTAATGATCCCATTTACCTTCCAAGGGATGTTAGCCTTCCAACAGCGCCAGGCCTCGGAGAGATGCTGCAGAATTGTACGGGCTTTGTTCTGCTTGATGCCCTCCGGCATCATGTCCAGAATGTCATGCATCACCTGTAATCAAGCGTAGGAATGGTTAGCACAGCAATGGATACAAGCTTCTCCTAACCTATATGCTCCTTTAGCACAATAGCTCCGATACAGTCAAGCCTAATTATAATGAACCTGAGCGTGACCCAGCATCTATTCACTGTATCCTTAAGTTCGTAGTAAATGAAACAGCTTTAAAACAGTTGCAAGTGAAAACACAAGTTTTTTTTTTTTCCAGAAAAGTTCGTAAAGCACTTGTTTTAATTAAAGAGCAGAAGCAATTGGGGCCATTTTGAGTTTATTTAGAACGGCAGTGTGCTCTTCAACAAGGCCCTTAGCATATACAAGCTGCCTGAGGATAATAATGTAGCCAATTAATACAGGTACCCTTGTGGGCACTAGCTCCAAAGTTTCGTCGTCATCATTATCCGCTTGCTCCAAATCGCTCTTACCAAGCCCTTCATTCACAATGGCCTCATCTGTGCACAGTTCCGCAGTGTCCACATCGTGATCGGCCGTAAAGAAATCATACCCGCAGATTTCCTGGCTTCTCTATGGAATTGCCGACGCGCTGCCACAAATTGCCGCCGGAGTGGTCCTGTTAGGAAGCTTCAGGCTCGGCATTGGGTCGAACAACAATGAAGTCAGCCTTGCAAAAAAAGTTTCGCACACATCTAGCTGTTACCTTTGCCGACGAAGTATTCATCATCTCCACAGCTGAATACAGGGAAACCCTACACAGAAAGTTGACTACAGCTATGAGCAAACGCTTCAACATGTGGCACCCATTTCAAGTCTAAATGCCTGGGTTACACCCACGCCAAGCAGTTGCACTTTCGACGTTGTGTTGAGTGGCATAAAAAGAAGTGGAAGGTCTCCCGTCCTCCATCTTGACCACTGGGTCCTTCTTCACGTCTCGCCAAATGTTGAACGCACTAAAAACCTGTAGCAAGGCCGCCAGCGGGTGCTTCAGAGTAGACAAGTGTAGTGCTTGCGTCAGGCCTGCTGTAGGCCTAAAGGGGAACTGGGAAATATTCACAGGTTGAAACGTCACTTCTTAATTATGTCAAGGGTCTTCGCCCGAAAAGCCTGGAGACACTGTTTGCTAGTGGCCTTAGTGCTTGCAAATAAATCTTTCTTTGTGTTGAACCTGTGGTCTTATTGTTAAGTCTTCATTAGTACTTCTCAAAGCTTGTAGTTTGTTGCTCGCGTGAGTACCCCGATTTGCGGCCGCTTCGTTTTTTTTTTTTACTTTTTTTTTCTTAGCACTCTAAGTTTTCACAGAAAATTTTCCTTGTGTAATTCTCACTCCCTCAATTTTTCATTGGTTTTTCACACAAAAAAAAAAGCATGAGAATTACGCATGTAAATGCGGTATATTAAGCACTCATTGTGCTTCACAAAGAAAACGAGCCCTTCTTTCGGGAGACACTCAGCAACATGGGCACTCACCGATGCCCTGAGCTCCAGATCAAAGTGGCTTTCCACACGCTGCTTGGTGACAGTCTTGGCCACTCCTTTAGAGTGACGCCCCTCAAACTGGCGAGACAGCAGGTTACCCAGCCAGCGCTCGAGCAGAGGGGTGATGCCTCGCATGAAGAACAGCCACACACGCCAACCAGGTGCCCAGAATCCGCAGCCCGGTCCTTTGCCGACAGGGCCCTGAAAAAGCGAAACCATCACTAGCGGATTAGGACTGTGAAAAATCACAGGTACAAGTTTCTGATAACTGTGACCATCACCTGTTGAATGTCTGAGCTGTGTGAGCAAAGCTTCCTATTGGCCTGGTGTGCGACCGATGGCAGTGCTGTGAACCGCGTCTCGGGGGTGCAACAGCCGAAATTGAACTTCGAGCGATTCTTAGGGCAGCGAAATATTACTTTTAGAGTACTAAAATGCAAGTTTGGAGCAGGTTACAGAGAAAAAACTGACTTTTTATCACGAAAGACTGAATTTAAAGCAGCGCGCAAGAGAGGGCTCATATTAAAAAAAATGTATGTTCAAACCATTGAACAACTCTTAAATCATGCAGAGTGAATATGAGCACTGCTTTTTCACAAATGTAGTATTTTGAACCACCCCACTGACCAAACAATTATGAAGTCCACATTAGCATCTGTCATGCCTGTCGAATCTTTTGACAGGCTCTGGGGATTCAAACGTGGATCTGCCAAGCTGGCGATCTTGAGATTTGGCGAATTCATGATACTGAGGAGTAGGGGTGGCAAAAACCAAAAATGGCACATAGTTTTGATTATTGAGGACTGCAGAAATGTCATACAGGGCTAACTGCCATGAAAAGGAGAGGCACAAGGCACGAAGCACGTGCCAAACGTTGAAACGCGGTGACGGTGTGCGAGGAAAAAAAAAGTCACCCAGGAGCACGCTAACCAGCCACATTAACGCAAGAGATCGGTCGAGAAAAGACTCATGGCACATGACCCAAGCCGGGAGGAAGAATCCCAGAGGATGAGCTGGTACGGTGCATTGGGACGCCGAGCTGCAAAGACGTGGTGAACGGGTGTCGCTACCGCGACGGAAGCAGTATAGCCACCCGGATCTGAGGGGTGTCAACACGGGAGGCCCGGGGAGTGGCCATTGACCTCAGAGGTTTCGAGTGAGGTTGCCCCAACTTGCCACACCCTTGCACAGCAGTTCCCGGTCGACTTGCAGCTCTCCCACATCGCGGCAGAACGGCAACAGCCCACACCAGTCAGCAGAGCAGACTTGCCATCATGGGAGTCCATGACGAGGCTAAGCCTAGTCAGCAGAGCGGACTTGCCATCAAGGGAGTCCATGACGAGGCTATGTCAAGCCTAGCCAGGCCGAAGATAACGAAGTCCGGGACACTGGCGACGACGACAACGAGCGGTTCGTTTAGCGGGACCAACCAATGGCGACAGTAGGAACTTGAGGAGAAAGTCAACTATGTACTTGACAGACCTCGACACGGCATTGGAGAGAAGAGAAGCCGACGTGAACTATAAGATCGTTTGATTGTTGAGACGCTATATTCAATTAGGAGCAGTGGCTAGGGCTAAAAACAGATTTAGACTGATTTGCAGACTGTTTTGCTTGTGCTGTTACTGGGGTAATTTTGTGTCTGCAAGTGTTGGTTTCGTTTTGCTTTTGATTTCTTGCCTTTTCTCTTTTGGGTTATAAAGTGTGTTTGTTTTTGGCACGCCCGTCTCCCGACTCTCTCAATTCCATCCTATACAAGCGCTCCCGAGATAAGTTTGTGACACTAACAAATGGTTGCCAGCGACTTTTTTAGATGTCAGCGATCATATTAGCACTTGCAACAGGCGGCGTACACATGCATCAGTAACTGAACGAAGAGTGCTGTGTCCCTTGGCTAATGTCGACAGCCTATTCCAAATCTTAAAACGCTTTTCCGCGGGCCACACCGGTGTATTGCGGCAAAGGTGGCTTAAGTGGCATTCTGCACAGGTTAGAGCAAGGCCAAACGATTTTCAAACAGCTACCCCCATCCCCCCTCTTTTTTTGTCCCGCTGGATTTACATTTAGGGCAAAAAGTCTGAACGCGCATTTCAACAACATAAAACTAGCACACGCCCGTTGGCCCGGCGACGGCATGGGATATCTTTCGCGTGTGCCGTAGGTAGGGCATCTGACGTGGTCGCCAGCTATGCATAGTTTGATGGCGAGCAGTAACAGCGGCATGCGCCTTCAGCTTGAAGCTAGCGCGTCGCCATTGTGCGGGCTTTTTTTGCCCATTTCTGCTGTAAACTTGTCCAAACATAACCCTCCCCTCCTCAGCAATCCGTTGGTGCTGCGACAGCGGGAGTAACATCGACCTCTCTCACCCGGAACTGGATGTCGACTGTGGCACCGCGCTCAAGTCTTGTGCGACGTTTCGGACGCGCAGCGGCAGTGAGAATCTCTCTGGACAGCGTCTTCCTCTACCGTCTGTCAGCTCCTTTGTTCTTGGGGCTCGTTTGGTCTGAGTTCACCAATGGTGCCTTGCCCCAGCGGTGGTCGCTTACCTTTCGTTGCCCCTTCCAAATGCAAGACCAAAGAGCGGTGCAGTGGGTTCACATGTGGTCATACTACGCTAAGCCGTACCTATTCAAGCCAACGTGAGCAGAGTGTGCCCACGCTCGAGCGATCGGGCCCTGTAGTCACTATAAGCGCGCGGCATAGTCGCCAAAGACCGTATCCTTCAGCAGCGTGTTGCCGTGGGCCTTTTCGCTCGTGGAGACATGCCACACCCTTTGTGTTGCGTTTTCGCCTATGGCGTGGAGAATCCTCTTTTGCTTTTCCGCTGCCTTTGCAGTGGGGGTTGTACGACGTTATGGTGTTACCGCAGGCAATAAGGTGTTGTGAATCATTGAGAGCAGTACTGTGTACTTGCCAAGCTGTCCTTGGCTGTCTGAACGCGCGTGTGCAGCAGCCTTACCGCATATACTAGTGTAAGGGCCACCTTCGTGTCAGGGCCGCACTCCTACTTTGGAGAGAGACATTTTAATAATATATAAAAAAAATTATGAAAGTCCCGCCATAAAGGTGCAACTTAGAAGTGTGGCAGCTTGGGCTAGTTGGTATGGCACGACGATAGTTATAGCGCGAGAACAAAACGACGACACAGAGACAAGAAGGACACGAAAGACACGAGCGCGTGTCTTTCGTGTCCTTCTTGTCTCTGTGTCGTCGTTTTGTTCCCGCGCTATAACTATCGTCATAAAGGTGCAGTTAGTTCGATTGTGGCCAGATGCCGCGGCCAGTTTTTCCATTTCCGCCGTTGTGCCAGTGCGAACGGGGTGCCATTTTTACTGTGTGTGGTGCATCAGTTGCATCAATCAATACGTTTTCGTCGAATCGGTGTCTTTCAGCCAGCGCAGGTGAGAGATGATGGGCCGGCATTTGAGGTCGTTCGCTTCAGGATTTAAACTGCAAGTGATTGAATATGCCGAGGAGCACGGCAAGCGAGAAGCTGGAAGCAAGTACGATGTAGTTGAAAAGCACGTGTCTTACTGGAAGAAGCAGAAAGATGCCGTCACTGCTACCGACCGGAGCCGAAAAGCCTTTCACGGGAAGAACTGCAAATATCCAGAACTGGAAGGGGAACTTCTCAAATATGTCATTGATACTCGAAGGGACGGCTACGCCGTATTGACTCATATAATACGCGAGAAAGCCCTTAACATCGCTCGCCACATGGAAATCCCTCAGGCACAATTCAAGGCAAGTCGGAGAAGGGCTGATCGGTTTATGAACCGCAACCAGCTCTCAATCCGCCGCTGAACGACGAGTTGTCAAAGACTTAAGCGAGTACACAAGTAAGGTGATGAAATTTCATAACTTCGTGAATGATCTTTGGAGGGAGCACGAATATGACCTCTCCCAAATTGGCAATGCGGAACAGACTCCTGTGTGGTTCGATGCGCCGGAGAGCACCACAGTGGGCTTAAAAGACGCGAGAAGTGTGACTGTGCGCACGACCGGCACAGAACATCAAAGGTGCACTGTGATGCTGTGGGTGACGGCAGACGGCAGGAAACTTCCGCCGTTTGTCGTGTTCTAGAGGAAGACTATCCCGAAAGAGAAGTTCCTTCAAGTTCCGTCATTGTACTTGCCCAAGAAAAAGGTTGGATGTGCAAGGAACTTGTCGTGGACTGGGTGAAGACCATCTGAGCAAACATACCTGGAGGCCTGCTGCAGCGGAAAACCCTCCTTGTTCTGCACAGCTTTAAGGGCCACTTGACGGACCGCGTCAGGAACAGACTCTCCACGACTCGTACAGACTTGGCCGTTATTCCTGGAGGACTGGCGAATGTGTTGCAGCTGCTCGGCATAAGCATTAATTGTTCATTTAAAGCAGAATTTCATTGCTGCTATTCGAATGGATGCCTGGGGGCAATCGTGAGAAGACACTGACAGGACGGCTGAAGCGGCATCGTGCCAACAAGTTTGTGAGTGGATTTTGAGTGCGTGACGTGCCATATTATTTGAAGTAGTCGCCAAAAGCTTCAAAGTAACCTGAATTTCAAACTTCATGAGAGGCACTGAGGTTGATCATCTTTGGGAGGATGCCGACGCCGAGGCGAGTGCTTCCAATTATGAGGACAATGAGAGTGAAAAGGAATCTTAATAAAAACATCCTTGGCTAGTCATTTGCGACTCTCTCAGTCTGCTACTGTTGTGGTACAGGCCTTTGATGAGCTGTAATCGCCGTGATTAGTGTAAGGGCTGCATCAAGCAATAATGTCGAAAAAAAAAAAAGTGTGGCCCTTACACGAGTATACGCGGTAGCTCACGTGAGGCGATGGCAAACATGCCTTTTGGCTCACTAAGGGGGAACCCACACTAGTGGCCGTACTTTTGCAAGATTTGTGTACACTACAGTGTAACAGTGTCTTATAATTTAACGTAGGGGTGTGCATGTCACTAACATACTGTATTTTCTTGATTCTACCGCGCCCTCGATTGTAACACGCACCCGGTGTTAAAAAAAAAAAAAGACATGGATCGCAACGCGCACCTATTTTTCTCATTGGCTCGCACGATCGCACCACTCAGGAAAATGACTCCTTTCGGGAGCGTCTTCCGTTTAAATATGAGGTAAGGGGAAGCTTGTGCCTACCTGACGTGCAACAGAGCATTGCCGTCACTCTAGTTTCACCGTGGCCCGATGTCAGCAT